AGAGAAGAATGTAGGCATTTTTTTGTTGCGAAAATAAACCTAGATGGTGAAATTAGTGATCAAATTTTGTTTAGAAAATCTATTATTTTAAGCAGACAGTGATGTCGATTCTGGCATGATTCTTTAAAGCTAAACTTAAATTTGACAACAGTGCGTCCCTGTCATTCTCTATACAGATTGAAAAGGAGAGACTGATGTTAAATTTAGTTTTAAGTTTAGAGAATCACACTAGAATCGACACCGATATCGTATTATAAAGAGAAAAATTATAAGGGGTTCATATTATAAGAAACATTAATCTATCGGCGTTTTCTCTTGACTTCAGCAATCGCCGTGAAATTATTCAATGTTGTACGATAATACGAAACCTGTCGTGTGTAAGTCTGACTCGCACTTAGCCAGTTTGTCTAATATTGATCCCATTGAGAATTGCACCCGGGCCTTCAAGAGATTCTGACATCATGAAAATAGAGCCAGCCGCTGTCTGTCCAATAATATCGCAATAGAATTATATCACGGCTCACACCACTCATGTTATTTTCCTCACAGGCCTTCCTGACAGACGGATTAGGGAGTACATGTTATAGCCCTTCACGCTGCGCTGGCCCAGCTCGGGAGAACTTCGGAGCACTAAGAAACTCGAAACAAATAAATTCATTTCTTTGACTAGCCATTGCTAATACTGCTGAAACTGCCACCATCGCAGATCGAAACCGCTAACTGTACTAAGCTTTCGTACTCTTTTATTTTTATATTCCATCATATCAAAATCTTATCAATAAAGTATGGCTATTCACATAAATGAAAATGGGAATGTGATCCATGTTTATAAACAGATTTATAATTATAACTATTAACGGGATTGTTACCATGTACCTTGTTTTTTATGAGTCTCCGATATTTCGGCACTGTTGCAAGTGCCATGGTCACGGAGTAACTCGATAGTAGTAGTATCAGTTACTCCGTGATCATGGCACTTGAACTCGATAGTAGTAGTATCAGTTACTCCGTGATCATGGCACTTGTAACAGTGCCGAAATATCGGAGACTCATAAAAACAAGGTACATGGTAACAATCCCGTTAATAGTTATAATGGTAGTGACCATGAAAGTTTAAAACAATATAAGATTTATAATTGTTTAGATTTATCAGTCTACCAATACGATAATAAGGAACTTGCTATAAAGTGGGACAGTATTCCATTGTTGTTTTGAAGGTCGTTGCAGAGTGTGCCACAGGAATAAATATTTAGGACAGGAACCATTCACAGACTGTACACAACAATAGTACCTAGGAGATGCAAATCTTAACAGTATAAGTTTGTTTCCTAGCGGAAAATTGCAATCATGAAGACAATCAGAAGATGTAACAAAACGAGTAATAGGTACAAAATGGTGGTGGGCACAATCACGCGATGAGTTCGCCAGCGAAGGAAGACAAAGGCGAACACGAACTAAGGATAAAATAGAACAGTTCTGGCAATAAAGTAGTTTTAATCCATATACCTACCTACCTATTCGCAGTTTAGTTATATCGAACACGGGTTTAGGTAACTTTATAAGCTAATGCTTGCTGCGCGAAATATATCAAACGAGCGTAATCATTCGAATATCAAATGATCGAAATGAATCGCTTAAGAAAGCTACAGCTTTAATTAAAAAAAAACGACGGGTTGCACTCCGGGAGTGCCGGCAGAAGTGAAAACTTGAATATTAACGTTGTGCATTTTTGATATTTTGGAATGGTTCGGGAATAATTTTGCACGAATTGCTTTAATTATCAGTTTAAAAGTACTATCATTTATGTGGTACAATACAATATTTATTAATTGAGGTATCGGACACAAACATGACAATTTATATTACATTAAAAAGTTTATCTCTCGAAAAATCAACTTACATGAATCACATTTAAGCGCACCTAGCGACATCTATTGTAAAAAAATGCATTTTCTTCGCAATAAAGCTGACACCTGGACGTCCTAATTAGAGACTTATTATTATAATACGATAAAATAAAATATTACTATGTTTCGTCCAATATATTGAAAGTCATGAACCTTTCCAATTTTATTGTTTTTGACTTACGAATTTTCGATTAGGTCACGTGTCCTGGGGGCCATTCGCCTAACTAAAATGCTTTGGAAAATGCTAACGCTTACGATTTATTTTTTACTTCTAGCCGCCTGAGGTTTTCAAGTGCCTCGCGCTCTTTTTTATCTTTTGCATTGGTATACAATAACAATATTAAAAAAAATGAGCGTGAGGTATTTGAAAACCTTTTGCGGTCAGAAATAACAAAATAAAATCGAAAGCGTTAGCGTTTTCAAAAAAATTTTCGGGGGGCTGCCGTCAAGTAAAACTTACATTCCTTTTTAAATTAATTTTCAAATTGTATGAAACTCAAAATCGATCCCCTAGCTACGCCCATGATGACGCATATGTTAGAGATTCGAATCCGCAACAGAACCCCAAGCACGAACTACTAGCGAGAAAGTGTTCGTATCGCCGGACTGCAAAACTGCACCGTACCCCAAGTACGAAATTTGACAGAACCGTATTTGTATAGCCAACGTCAAAGTTTCCATGAAAAATAAGCAGCGCCCCCAACGAACGTAAGACAAACGGTATACCTACATACGAATACGGATCATCAATGTTTATGCTTGGGGTACATTTGACTCCAAAACTAGTGCAGTTTTGGAGTCAAAACCAACTGTTAAAAATGTGTGTTCCCGCCACTTTCCTCTATATTGAATGTCACTACTAAATGTTTCTCAGGTACTAAAAGTATAGGCGCATTCCTCAATAAATCTCTATTAAATTCTCTAAAGGTCGAGTGTCAGACGACCTATTATTGTGTCAAAGCAGCACTTAATCAATTTTGTCCTTGGTAGTACTACTTATCAGCTAGAAACACCCTATTATGTCATAAATAACATTATTAAAGATGAAATGTTTTGAATTGAGTTGGATATAATACCTAAGGCATTATTGTTCAATTCGCAAATACGGTAGACCCGCGATGATCCGACGCCCACTGTAATTGACACCTCTATCACTGTTGATTGTGTACATAAACATCAACTAAATAGATTTTTTATTTATCTTATTAGAAAGTACCTATAGAATACATACCCAGTACTACAGAATACATAACAGTAGTACTGTATAATCTGACAAATAATTATGAAGTTGAAGATACAAAGATACTATAATTAACTAATACTCAATCATTCCCAGAAAAAATTTGGACCTACTCATTATTTAAATGTGCGAATATTGCCTACAGGATAAAAGGACTAAATGTTATATTAATATATCTTTGAATGAAATGTACTCATATAATATTGATCGCACTCCACTTTGCAACTTCCTTTTATCATTATTATTTTTCTTAAGTTTGATTTATATAATAAATAACTAATATTAAAATACACCATGTTTTCCTTAAGTAAACATGATTCCCCCTCCCTACCCTAATTATAATAATAATAGTTTTAAGCATGAAATTGAATTGAAGTATTGAAGGTAGAACAGATAACATAAGATGCAAATATACTGCAAAAGTTGCCTTTGCCTTGACTCAGGAGCCGGTCAAAGCAATAATAAATGGTATGTTAGCAAAATAGTTTAATAGTTTACATCCTCAAGCCCAGTCTAGGTGTCCAGTTCTGAAGGTTATTTCAATAAGTAACAACCCATTTGTTTGTTGAACGCAGTTGCAATACTAAGTGATTTCTCCGCATGACTTAAATACTTACTTGCTTACAATGACTTAAATAATCAAGAATTTAGGTTTTTGAACTCACTGTCATTTTTAACATTAAGTGTCTGAGAAGTACAGGATGGTTGATTTTCCACTTGCATTGGAGCAGATAGGTATATGGGGCAGTAACATTTATCTGACTGTAAACTATAGAGAAATATCTGTAGTGGTTTTATTTCTGTTAGTAATATTCCAGGGCTCCATGAGATAGAAGGGATAGGGTTTAGGCCAAAAAGTTGAGCCAGTAAGGTGGCCAGATGGGGTATGCTGTACAGTTTTTTGTTTAAAGAAAACTAAATAAATAATCACTGAGAAATGTTAGAGATGAATAAATATTTTTGTATTTAATATTAAATTATTGATACAAATGTTCACATAGACAAAACAGAGTCAACTAAAAAATCATATCGAGGTAGGTCTACTTGCAGCAAATTTGCTAAATCTTAATGTAACTGAACTAGATTAAACTCATACAAAAATGTAAAATTTGTAAATCTCGATCAGAGACGGATAGCTGAACGATAACAGTGTTGGGATCGACACTGACCGATCGGTGGTTCGATCGTGAGGCCGGTATATTTTTTAAATCTCAATCTAACAATTTGACAGTTTTAATAATCGTGAAAATTACTTAGGTAATAAAAGCTCTGCTTAAGCCGAGATAAATAACAATAATATTGTCTTTATAAGCTTTAATATTGTCAAGGTTGGTTGTTTGTCAAATTGTTGCAATTGTTAATTGCTAAATGATATGGTAATGATTGGAACAAGAAAATAAGTTCCATTTTAAATAAATAATAAGTTTAAAATAAGGTTTAACACTTAGATATTATGCATTTATGTTTAGCTTGCTGCTTAATTATATAAATCATTAGCACAATTTTATCCATTAAGTGAATTTACAGTGCTACAATAAACAAATGTCATGGTTTTGTTAAAATAATTTAGACTGCAGGGTATATATAAAATAAAAAAATAAAAAAAGTGATTTTAAAAATATGATGTTACAATCCTATGTCCTCACGCATTACTAATATAATTGTATTATTTAGAGTACCTACATAATAAACAGTGATTCTATGTAAATTTTATGTGAGTATCGCCAAAACACGAGGAAATAGTCCAATACAGAACAAAGTAAACATGCAGCCGAAGGTTTCAAATTGAAGCAATCGATTTCGGTACGCCAGATTGATAATTATCATGTATTTAAAAAAGCATCATTACATACCGTTTAGTTCCTCCGTCAATATTATTCCTATTATATCACAGCCAAAATGCGACCAATTGCACCAAAAAAACAAGTCTTAGCAGGAAAATTACACAAAATGAACAGATTTAAAAACTGTATATCTTTTTGATATTCCAATAACAAGCAAAACACTGTGACTTGATTTATAACACAAATTCGATTGATTTAATAAGGTGAAAGTGCGAATTTTTTTCACAAATTCCGACCAAAACCGCACAAATGTCACCAACTGCGGCAACCGCAAAACGAAACTGACGTTTTCGTCCCGATACAATCTGAAAGTGACACTGACAGTGACAATTACGGTGTTACCAACACCTAGGAAACTTTACCCAACATAAAAAATACCTATCTTTAAGCTTGTACATATTTACTTTTACTTTTGTTATATGATATCCTAACAAAATTATTGACATCAAAATATCCAAGTTACTATACGAAAACAAATATACAAACTTGTTTCTAAAATCTGGTTATGTAATTTAATGTGTATAAATAACCATATCTTAATCTATTAAAACTTCTATTTGTACCAAATTCAATTTATTATAATACTAAAACATAAAAATAGAATTTGAAAAATAAGCTACAATGATTTTAAATGCTGCATTGGAGTGAAAAACTAATCCACAGGCTAGTCTTACTTTATGTTTTCCTTATTTGAGGTAAAAGTAACATCGTTGGCAACACGCGATTATTTGACGTTCCGTTGTATGCATAACTTTGTTTTGGCGATTTCTGCGCAAGCTCCTAATCAACAAAAAATAACTAATGAATAATATCCACTGTTCTAAACGCGGTTGTAGTATTATTTGAACCAGGATTAATATCGACGAAAATATGAGTATAGAGATGTAGTAATTTTATCGATAACAGTCTGTAGCTTAATGTTGTCAATCCATCGTAAGAGTATCTACCAATAGCAGTTTTCACCAACTCATTCCTGTAAATGAAATATTTTTTTAATTACTTAAGATTTACTTCATTACTGAAAAAAACTTAACAAGTTAAAATTAAATACCGTACTTTCAAGATAAGAATATGGACTTAAGATTTCGTTATGAGAAAAACAAAGCGCAAAGCGCATATTCATGTTCTCTTTACCTATAGCGTCATATTTGAGCAGGTGTAAAAATAGGCAAGGTCACTATCCAATTAGCATTATCGATGCTCTCACACCGATTAGTATATTTTCTTTTACTTACGGCATAATTATAGGCATATGATAAGTAATTTATGCAACCCCTTGTACCCCTAGAACATGGACGACTTAGTAGATTAATCTAATTTACCCAAAAATAATACAATTATTTTATATAATTTAATTTACTAAACAAGACAAGTGGGGAGCTCTGTGTCGCAATGAATAACGCACACCGTCTACGATTATAGAAGTTATTAAGCTACTATCGTTAGAAGGATGCTAAATAACTTTTTTGTCTTCGTCTATCAGGTTGATTAACAAAAAGTATTAGACACGTATTTTTCATTATTCACTTAATCAAAACATTACAGAAATATATTGTTTTAGACTTTCACGTTCATAGTAATTTACGTTATTTACGGGATTGCTATCATGTACCTACCTTTTTATAGATATGTTACGCTCAAAGATCGAAAACGCTCAGTGAGCGGAAAAATAGCTCACAACGCGTTGTGGTCACAGTAGAACATCCACATCGCGAAATTCGTGTTATGGCTATAATGAAAACGCGCACGACGCGTTGTGGCAATCACAGAAAGACCAAATAGTGAAATTCGTGTCGTGGCTGACATGCTATTCGATCTCAACGCGTTGTGGCAACGAAGAAAAGCCATGACGTGCTATTCGATCGCATGTCAGCCACGACACGAATTTCGCTATTTGGTCTTTCTGTGATTGCCACAACGCGTCGTGCGCGTTTTCATTAGAGCCATAACACGAATTTCGCGATGTGGATGTTTTACTGTGACCACAACGCGTTGTGAGCTATTTTTCCGCTCACTGAGCGTTTTCGATCTTTGAGCGTAACAGATATTTTGATTTGAATTGTCGCATGTCCGTCTTGTTCAAAAAATAAGCAACAATTATGTTTACATAGAAATGTCGTCACGAGCTTCCCTACTCCAAACTTTGATGCACTTAATCTTTGTAATTTTTTGGTTGATTGACAAAAAGATAAACAAGTAGGTAAATGTCCATTATTTTCTGATAAATGTAACTGATGAACTAAATAAAATTTCGTTTAATTTACCCCGTCAACATCCTTATTATCGATCATAGGTTAGGTGACTCAAAATTTATTATCTCGAACTTCTGCATGCTTCCGGAAGGCACGATAAGTTGTTATAGTCACGGCTGCGGCACTGAGCCTGCGTAATGAGTCGATTCTCCCTATCCTATATAAAGGGAAGACTTGCCGGCCTGTTCGTTAACTTTTTTGACATTTACAGTGTGTAACTATAGATAGAATTGAATATCCGTCGATGCTTTTCAGAACACATATCTTAGTGGCGTTATAATAATGTAGCAGTGGATCACTAAATAGCTCGGTGATTATCTCTCCTCCAGCACCAACTTCCACTCCTCGCCTGTAGGTGAAGATCTCCTCCTGGTGAAGACTCGAAGCCTGTTATTGCGCAGTAGGCCGCAAATGATGTCGTGGTGCAATAAGTTCGCGCAACCCTTTGGGCCACTATACTTTGCTGCCATCTGCAGCAGTGCCTTATCACTCGCCGCACTTATGCTTTCCGCCCAGATCGGCGCCCCTTCGAAGGCTATATTTCTGATGACTCCAGCATTCATGCTTGCGACAGCTGGCGTTGGGGCCACCGACGTTCGGCAGCAACTTGCTAAGTGCAACCGCAGCACCACTTAGTCTTGGGCCCAGTATTTAAAGTGAGCATCAAATCACCACTTGCTATCCATTATAAGCCCCATGTATTTTAGGCTGGACTCAATGGGCTCATTTGTTGCCTCAACCTTTACGAACGCTCCGGCCGGCCGGTGGCTGGCCCCTAGAGCTATAGAACATTATAGCTCTAGCCTTTTTCGCAGCCACCTTTAGATACAACATAGGTACTAATCAGCCCCGTCACCATTGAGGCACTCGCAGACACAACCGGCTGATGTATCACTACCTACCTAACTAGGTATTCATATACTGTTTAAACATTTTCCGTATACACCCAATTCAATCTGTGAGTTCAACATACCTATTTTTACATTCTGGCATCTTATCATGTGGTAAAGATAAATATTTTGCAATATCTTTCTGGTATCGTACCATTGGAAAACCGGCTGCCCTAATTCTGAAATGAAAGTTGGATAACTGTAAAAAGTCATGAATACAAAAAGTATTAAGATTAGGAGATTTTCTGGAGAAGTGGAACTTCCACTTCACGAAAGACCACAATCAAGTAAAATTTAATTTAATTTAATAAAATTGAGCTTCTGACTTCCACGGCTCCATGGGATAGGGTATTAACGAGCTCTTGATTAACCTGAATACTGCCACTAGAGTAGGACATTGGGCTGATGCCAGCAGGGAGAGGATGTCTAGAGATGCTTCGCGGTACACTTCTCTGCCCGTTGGCCGCGTCATTTATGTATATTTGGAACTTATATTAATCTACACATATCGTATTTTTTTAGGAGCGTTTACGTGAATTATCATGCTGCATGGCAGCCACCACGTAGTTTGAAAGACTTTCACAACAATGTGTAGACGATCATGCGGCATACGTTTTCGTGATTGCTGCATAACTTTGCACTATAGTTTGCATGTCATGCGCATTAATCAAGCACATTAAACGTCATGCCGCATGCTGTTCTAGCTAGAGGCACATGATAAAAAAAATAATAGGCTTGTTTTTACCTCCAGAACATATCTGTATCTTCACCACCCCAGCCCCAGTACAAATTAGAGTAGCCATTAACACTGGCGAATTGTTTCGTCGACATAGAACTGACACCACCGAAAAAAGTGTGAAATGTCGAACTGAAATAAAAAAATAACTTTATTGTTTCTTAGATTTTTACGGAGTGTTTAGGAAAATTTACGTCAGATGGCGACACTATGACAAGAGGTTTTTTGTATGAAGTCTATGGTGCGAATTAATTGAACGTGCATTTAAATTGATCTATAGACTATGACGACATGCGTGATTTGACGGATGAGTAGACCTGAGGACTGCCTGAGGAGTAGACCCATAGTAGACCTTTCATCTCAGTGCTGCCACCTGGCGCCCGAAACCCTCATTAATATGTTTGAAACTCACACGCTCTTCTCACTGTCCACCACTGTGCCGCACATGTGCCTGGGCCAGACGGGGCAGCTATACATGATGTGTTTGCTCATCGGCAGCATGTCGACATCATGAAATACCATACAATCCCATTTGCCCAACTTCATTGCTTCCACATAACCGACGTTGAAAAGCCGCCCCTTGTTGAACAACTCCTTGCCTAAAATGTTGTAGGTCTTTGAATTATCTATGGATTCTTATAAAATTATTTACCTAAAATAATTTTTCATACGAAATATAGTATTTTCCGTTTATAGAAGAGAATGAAGGAACGTTAATTTAATATTTTCCGCTAAGGAAGTTAAATGAACCAGAAATGTGTTGTAAGAATTTAAAAAAGCCTTCCTATCGTTGTTTTTTTGAAACGCACAACAAATCCTTTTTTTTATTAATGTTACAACAAACTTTGAAATTAGTTCTATTCGACTAAATAAAAATAAAAAAATATAGTTAATGAATTCAAATTAGGTTCGCGATTCGGCTTCAATCGGGATACTACCGCTCTGAGATGTCTGTTAATCAATTAGTGATGACTCAATTTTACATTGAAATTGAATCCAAGACACCATAGTTAACAGCAGCTATTAATATGTATTTGACCGGACCAGAAATCCTTGGTCAAAGGCCCAGCCTTGCCATTTAATTATTATTAGGATACAAAATATTCATAAAAGATCCGAAATATCTGAACATGTGACTTAGGTAGAAGGTGGACTCCAGACGCTCGCTGTTGCAGCTATCTTTACTAGTGTTGCACCGAATGTGGGTGCTACCGAATGTGCGGTTTGCATATGTGCCGATGCCGAAATTCGGTTAAAATATCACGTACTTTTGTTGAATGCACTAAATGTTATAGTTTTTTAAGCATATCTTGATACTTTGTTGAGGTTTTTCATGTCATACTTAATTTAAGCTACCCAATTTCGACCGACCTTCGGGAGATCTAACCAAAATTCTGGCTTAAAGCTGCGGAACTTTGGTAACACCGAATGTGAAGCGAATTTAGGTAAATATCTTATCTTAACCTAAATAAAAAAATATACAAAATTTCAAATTATGTTCGTGTTAATTGAATATCCAACTCACCACTCTGTTCGACGACAAATATTCTGTATTCCAACATCTGATTTATCAAAAATGGGTGGATGTTGAAAAGGAAGATGGCTAGATTGATATGGCGATTCCTGAAATAAAAAGCGATGTTTTGCGGTCTTACTTTTTGATGTGTAACATCTTTCTTGCAATTTGTGGGAGTGATTTCGTGAAATCGGACGGAAGTGTGTAACAGGAAATCACGAAAGCGCGCGCTATTTGATTTGATTTTAGAACATAATGTTCAAAGGGTTTATTCCTTTTGTAGTAGGTTTTATTTCTTTTTTTACTAATATAGGGTGAGGTTTCAAATGTTACACATCATACGCGACTACTGTAAGGCTCGCTCGTTATTTTTTAAAATTTTTAATGCTAGGTCTGACAAATGACAACTCCACCAGCAGAAGGGCGATTCTTTCAAATAAAATCTCGCTTCCGATTTCGGTAGTTGCCATTTTAGACATTAGTTTGATATGCATTACGCCATTACATGGCAATATGTCGCTGTGTCTGTAGAAGCAGCCAGTATTAGATATTTGACATTTGTTAGAAATCCGAATAAATCAGATCGTAAGTGAGTATGTATCTTACAGAATACCTATGCTGATGTTAATTAATGGCAGAGTCCAGATGTGAAGATAGCTGGTACAGCAGTTTTACCTACCATACCAGCCATCCTCATCTCTCCGGCGCGCAAGTTGCTTCTTCACGCCTCTTTTGAAAGGATCCCGGGATGTAGGCGTGAGGGAACATGTGAGCGAGCAAATCATTCCATTTGCAGTCATGCGAAAAAGAAATAAGTCACCAAATTTATTTGTTCGCGTTGGAATAGTGGCCACAGTAAGTCGGTGACAAAGTAGTTCTCTGAAGAAAATGGGATGGTGGGATAAGGGAGAATAACTCCTTGATGAATACTCGTAAGTAAAGTAGTTATTAAATATCAAAGCTAAACAAATATCAATATAGTTATAATTTTTATTTTTGAAACATGTAACTGCTCGATTTTAAATTCCACGCGAAGGGTTCGAGTCCCGTCTGCTGCCTGGTCTGCGTGATTTTTTTTTTAGTAATATTTTCTTTAATTTTAATATATCTATATTTTCTTTTTTCGGGAAAACGGGATCTAATTTTGTCTGCTTCCAGAAATCAGTTAAGCAGGCTTATTCCAAGATAAGGCCCTATTGCAGTCACTCGTGTGTCTGTCTCTCCGTCGTCAGTGACACAGGTTGTATAGGTACGTGTATGGTTGGAGCTATAAGCGTTATTTGGTGATAATATTGATTATTGATCTGCAACCATTATGTTTCCTGTGTGTAACATTTTTCCTCTGCTGCAATTTGTGGGAATGATTTCGTGTAATGGGACGGAAGTGTGTAACAGGGAGTAGGGAAAACACGAGCTATTTGATTTTATTTTAGATTCAAATATTAATTTTTTTTTAAGTATGTTTAATTTCTTGTTTTACTAAGGTGAGATGGCAAATTTTACACATTGCGACTTCCGAAAGGCTCGCTTGTTTTTTACTTAGAAATACGAATTTCATATATTTTTTTAAAGTTTGTAGATTTGCCCATAAATCATTTTCTTTCTCTCTATTAAAAATAATAAACCTGAATGGTATAATGACGGCCACTTTGTGTCTAGATCTGCACAGCTGCGGGGCGTGGCAACCACCCAATTTCACTAATTTTCCGTAAGTTTGGTTACTTGACATTTCGCCAAACCGCACTACAGTGTCTGGAAAAAAAGTTACATTAATAATTAACAAGACTGAAACGGTAAGTTCAAAAAGTCATTGCAGTGAGGTTTAAATACAGGTATACATATATCGAGGAGCTCGATGGCGCAGGTGGTTAGCGCGTTTGGCCTACGATCGTGGAAGTTAAACAACTTTCGCAATGGTCGGTCAATGGATGGGTGACCAAAAACATATTATCTTGAACTCCTCCGTGCTTCAGAAAGCACGTTAACCCGTTTTTCCCAGCTGCATCTGTAGTCGTTAGTACCCACCAATCCGCACAGAGCCCGCGTGGTGTGTCACGGTCCAATCTCTCTAATCTATCCATACGAAAGGCCTGTTCTCCAGCAGTGGTTAAATTAATAGGCTGTGATGATGATATATATATATATATATATATATATATATATATATATAGATAATAAAAAATCTATCGAACGATACCCTTTAAATCCAAAAGTTTTCAGGCATGTAGAAGTTATAGTAGAACTAAGAAAACACATACAAAATTTTTTTAGGATCTTCATAAAAATTTCACACTTAATTATTTAGAAGAGAAGTTACACATACATCGTAATAAATATGATTACTTTGGGACCACCTTGTATAAAAACAATAAGGAAATCCATAAATAATCTACTTAATCAACAAATTACCAGTTTTATTGATCCGGAACCGACACCAAGGTGTGGTTACTTTATTTGACGAGCTGATTGCTGATTGAATCGCTGTTCGAATATCTGAAAATAACGTTTCACTGAAACAATAATTTAGAGTCACGTGATTTAATTTGGAACCCACCTTAAGATGTAACGGTACTCCCTTAAGTTATACATGACGATTGTTATTTAAAAGTTTCATTAAATTCTGGATAAATAATTAGGGGAAACCACCTAATCATTGGCACTCATCCTATTATTGGCACTTTTGAGTTTAATTATTTAATTACAATAGATTATTCAAGATCGTTACATATTAAAAAGAAAAACCTAGTATGGTTTCGAAATTTGAAAATTGTCAGCATTATTCCTACAATCTATTGTTTCCTGGTTTTTTCGAACTAAACTTAAAAGTGTCATTAATAGGAAGAGTGCCAATGATTGGGTAGTTTACTTTGACGTTGGGTGCCAAATTAAATCACTTGACTACTATACCACATGAGCTTGCACATGAGTAAACTGAAAATCGAAACTAGTTAGGATGTGAAGTTTTGCTGTATGATGTCCTGTTGCATTTTTAAACAACCAATACTGAAAACGCCATTTGTAGTAGTATAGTCATTACCTTTTAATAAAAAGTTACGCTCAGGTTTGACCAAAAAAAAGTAGGAAGGTATTGTGAAAATTTCCTGAGAAAGCTCAGAAGACCTGTGTACTCACCTACATTTGGCGCGGTCTCGTGTGGTCGTTGAATTTCAAGATTGGAGATCACATTACCAGTAGTGTGATTTGGGTGTCTATGTCTTTTGTTATCTTGTAAAAAACAAGGAATTGAATGAAAATAAGAATTGCACAAATTTTAACTATAGAAATATATTTTGTTTACTAAAACATTGTACATGTAAACTTAAACTTAACACGAGAGACTCATCGTAACGTTACCGAGCGTTACACTTTTTCATAAGTGACTCCCAGCCGCAACCTAATTTAAGACGTTGTCACGTCAAAAAATGGTTGCCTGTAAAGTCGGTTTTACGGGCGAAGATTTTACGTGACAACGTCTTTTTCTCGGTAGAATATTTATTGATATGAATATAATTAAATTGCACAATAGGAACAAGGAATTGAATGAAAATAAGAATTGCACAAATTTTAACTATAGAAATATATTTTGTTTACTAAAACATTGTACATGTAAACTTAAACTTAACACGAGAGACTCATCGTAACGTTACCGAGCGTTACACTTTTTCATAAGTGACTCCCAGCCGCAACCTAATTTAAGACGTTGTCACGTCAAAAAAACAATATTTGAAAAGCATTAAGTGTCGCCGCACACGGGCCACACGCCACAGCCACAAAAGCCGCCACGAGAAGCTAGAAGCGGCTACTAAAGTGGCTGAAGCGCGCGACAGCGGCCGACTAAGGTAAGGGAGAGAGGGGTGGGGAATCGTGCGAGTGACTTGTGGCGGCGTTTTGTATCGGCGCATTAAGTGGCCGGTGCGGGCCACAAGAAACGAGCAACGACGATTTGTAGCGTGTGGCGGCCACCGGCGTTACGTGTGTGGCGAGTCCATATAATAAAATGTATGAAAACTACAAGAAATATGCCGGTGGCGGCGTTTTGTGGTTGTGGTCGGTGGCCCGTGTGCGGCGATACTAAAAGAACAATCTGCACTTTAGCAATATTTAACCAAATTTAAAAAAAAGTGATGTATCGACCTATCAGATGCATTCACTTACGAGACAGTCATATTTTTTTTATAAATTACGGTAAGAAGGAAAATGCGACCTTAGAAAAGGATAAAGCCTTAATTCCAAAGTCAAAAAAACTTACAAGCTGGAAGTGCCGACTGACGAACATTAGGAAGATTGGTTGATTCTTCATCATAATATGGCAAGGGCATCAACGTCTTTTGCGTTACGGGGCTGAAAGACTGTTTAGAAGAAAGCCTGAAAATGAGAACAATAAAAATTCAGAGAATAATGTTGTAGAACTTTCTTAAAAAGTCTACAGACCAAGAATCACATATCAATTAATATTTTTCTTGCCGTGGTAGTAAATCAATATAGCAGTCAGTACCGAACCAGTATCTATATAAAAAGTGGCCGTGATACCGGACACATTATTTATTCATTAATAGGGATGATGGATGGCGGGGCGAAGTAAAAGAATATCATAAAATAATGGATTAACTTATTTATTTATTCAATAAATAAATAAATTCAGTTCATCTAACCCGTTAAAACTTGTTTTATTTAATGAGCGATGTGCGTGAAAACCTAAGAAACAAATATAATAATCACTTCTTTTGGTTACTTAATTACAATGTTAATAAGATACAGTTTATTGGATTAACTTAGTAATTATTTTCTGACTGTTATGTAGTTTAAAATGAGATAAAGTAATTTTATTTTTATTCTTTAAAGTATTTAACTGCTAGATGTTTAAATCAGAAGAAATATTTACTAGAAAAAAAATCCAAAGTGTGGGTTACCTACAATGTGAAGAGATGTCGCTGCCTTGCAGCCTAAGAAATGCTAGAGAAAATTCTACACGGACAATTTGGGCTGCGGTAGCATAATGGTTAGTATATAAACCCGGATCGCGGAGGGAGCGGGTTTAAGTCCTCTCTGCTGCCTGTTTCGAGTAGATTTTTTTCTAGTAAAATTTTCTTTGGAGATAAATAAAATTATAATTTTATTTCAATACTGCTTTCAGATATTTTTAAAACAACTGTTATATGAGTACAATAAGTATGATAAACTTAGATTTTTTTCTTTGCGTACCTTGATTCTGAATCATATTGCCACCAGATCTGAACGAAGCCAAAGTAGTATAATGGTGGTGCGATCAATAACAGCAGGAACCAATTACTCCACAAGACCGTGTGGCTGGCTGGTTGCTCCAAGCACTCTTGCAGCGATGAGAAAGACGTGCTTCGCTCACGTTCTGTTTAGTATTTTCTAATAATCATCAGGAAACCGTAGTTTTAGGCCAAGGATAAGCAAACTACGGCCCGCGGGCCCTCTCGTCAAAAATTAAAGGCAAATTCGACAACTACCAATGACTTCAACGGCCAAAACAGTATCATTTTGTCATATGTCCCAGCAAGCACCACTCGTCTGCTAAACGTGGTACCTAACTACTTACTTCGCAGCAAACTTAAAAATGATTTTGTTTGCATAGTATTTATTATCATTTGATTGATTATGACATTATTTGAATAATAATAAAAAATATAAAATAAACAATATCAAGTAACTGACGCCAATAATTATTCACCTTAAACTAAGCTATAACGAATATCAAATAATAAATTATGATTAGGGAACAAATCTTCGTGCTCAACATACTAAGTTACCCAATAAATCGATCATTCGAAGGATCTTTCGACAAGACTGCAGGAAAAAGAGATATGCCATTTCACAAACTAGCATTAGTAATACATAGACGTACATACTCACTCCAGCGCTGAGATTTTTTTTATAGCCGTCGAAGGCAGACTGAGACGGCGGACGAGCGGACGGGCCACCTGACGTCAAGTTGTTACCGTCGCCTATCAGCAATTCCAGTGTCACAGCCATGCCGCTGCCTTTTGTGGAACACTCTATTTAAGCCTCTCTTGAAGATGATGTTTTTAGGAATGAAACGATACCATCTAGGTATCGATACTTTTATTGTGTATCGGTCACTAAGTATCGATGCCTGCTCGGTATCGAATGAAAAGTATCGATACTTACTTGTACTGATACTTTTTTACGAACGATATTACAATTACATCTTCAGTCACAGTTTTAATTTGACGAAAACAAAATAACGGCTCACGCCACGCGATGAATGAATGAGCAGTATTCATTCATCGCGTTCGCGAAACAAAAATTCCAACTAGACACCTTACCATAGAGTAAACAATCTGCCTATGGGTTTTTTTTTGATACTTCTCAGTGAGTGACCGACCAAGTACTGATACAAGTACTTACTTCACGATACTACTTGTTAGTCAGTTCTAAAGTATCGATGCCAAAAGTACTTGGTATCGAAAGAAAAGTATCGAGTAGTTACTTGTTTTTACTCGTATTGTTTCATCCCTAGATGTTTTAGTACCGAGGGAACACCGTGGAGGAGAGCATGTATGCTTGAGCTTATAGCCCGGCTAATGTAGGTACGATGTTTTGCCTGAAGAAGATATTTGAGTCTCTGTTAACAAAAGCATTGCCGGCTTCGTTGATTCAAGATATTGGTGGACGGCGTTAAGATTGGTGTGTAATCCTCTGATATTGTAAAAGTCCAATATAAACGTGGAACATGGTGCCGCAGTGAAAACGCGTTTTTTTATTTTTCACAGCCACAGTCGATTGTAGAGAAGGGGGTAAGATAAGGATTGGAATGTTGCAAGTGACTAAGAGAAAGACAGAAATGGGAGTTAATGGACTACCAGGATGTATCAGAATGGGTTGGAAGGAACCCCAATCCGACCCATGAATGAGCACTCGCTGTTCTTATCACCGGTTTCCGGCACAAGGTGCTTTTGACATTGGCGACGGGACAGCTTCCCATACTGGGAAGAAATCTGGGTTCGCACCCCCTTTGAACTGAAGGGTGGCCATTGTCTAGGCGTTTCCTCGGGCCACAGTGGCCCACGCGTCAATAAGATACGCCTGAATATGGTGGTAATCCTCACGGTACCGAACGGAACTCAAAGTCACTCACAACACAGTAATCGGAAAACGAAATTGGCTCTCAATCGCACAGACCAGAGAATAGGTACCAGACACTACCACCAGGCTGGCCAGTGTTTATGTCGTCTCTTACTACAGGCCTTCTTGATGGGTCGTAAGGAGTTGTATTCTAAGTCTAACCAATCCCCACACGAGGTAAAATCGATCACACACGCGGTCGACAGTGACGGCAAATTGTGGTCTATGGGAATTCAACTATTAATTTTGATAAAAACTAGTGCCCGCCCACGTGTTACTGTTGTGGTACACGTGAAACAAACCTAAATCACAGAATGGGTACTTAATAGTGCCTAAATATTAATTAGTTCTTTTTACATTACTAGAGTTGCTACGAGCTACGAGATCACGTCAAGAAAGAGCTACGGAAATCACTACGAAATTACAAAATTTAGAGGTTTTTACATCAAATATACACTATTTTAACTTAGTGCAACGGTATTTTTAAAATAATAAAACCTACTATTTACAAACTACTGAATGAAGGATTCACCAGGGTAGTAAAAAATAACATTAGCTAATAAATAAGAAAATCTAATCTTATTTTCTCGCATGCGAACGTTAGCAAAACATAATGTGCGCCAGTTGCCAACTTTTCCGTGAAGACAGTAAGCTCCTATACGGAAACTGTAGTACTTGGTTACTTATTTCTAAATACAATTATTGATAATACCTCCAACTAACAAATGTGTTATTGTTTGGAATTGAAGAGCAAGCAACCTTCACAGTGAAAGAACACTACCTCTTTGGTGGGTTACTATTGGTACGGTAAGTCAGGTACGGCAGTCATTTACAGGGTTCCACTTCCATGGAGGAGGTGATAGGTTTATGCCTGCAGTGCGAGGATAGACCGTCACATTTTTCTGCAGCATTTAATTCACACTCTATCTGGTGAGTCGGGGTAATTTTCTGCGGCTTGTATAAAAATAAAATCTCACATGCCGCTGCCGTTAGTGCTGTTTACGTGTTTTTAAATAGATCTAGATAGATACAACTTACTTGAATTAAGATTGCGATGCCAAAGTCTTTTGAAAAGTTTCCTCAGCCTTATCCATATATATGGATACATAATATTGTATTTACGTGACAAGAGCTAAACTTCACACACCATGTACGAATGCAATAAAACAGACAACTGAACTCGTAACACCATTTTAAAAAGGAAAAAAACAGATAAAGGATGTTTGCATTCTCGCAAGTTGCAACGCATTTACTGTATTTCAGAACAATGACAACAGACAAATGTACTATTGTGTAAGCAATAATTAACTATCTATGATATTAGGGCGGTAAGTTGGTTATTACCAACGAGTAGACGAATATAAGCCCGAGACGAAGTCGAAGGTTTACCATAGTTACGAGTTTGTAAATACCAATTCCACACGAATATCATACAACGCTTTTCAACACATTTGCGAGAAAACAGTACATTTTTTATGTAATGAAGCAAACTTTTTCTAAGGAGAAAATGGCGCGCATTTCCACGTTGCGCCACCAATTGCACCACGTGCTTGTGATGAAAATTACAACTACAACTTTTGGCTCTTTTTCTTTTTTAGTATTGAAGTGAGACAAACGTAAAGACCAAAAGCGATTTCAAGGAGTTTCGATCGAAATAAAAAAAAAAACCGTAAAAGATACGCACGGTGCATATTTCCGGAGCGTGCGGTAATTTTTTTTACCGCTCGCTCTGTTGTATGGTCCGTAATATTGAACTTTCGGACAAACTATAAAACCGTAAATTTAGCAAGTGTTGAATAAATATTGTACACTATACTAACCGTGCAACGCTTAATTTCGAAATTTTAACTAAGAACTAAATACTTAACTTTTAGAATTAGAAATACTTTTAAAATAAAAACACCAGCAATTAATTAAAATAACTTGTTTCTGTCTGATTTCTCGGCGTTTGTTATCGAACGGGGTGGGTCCAATAGAAATGGGATAATCTAATCAAACGAGCCACAATCTCGATTGTCCGTTGAACAAGGCCCTTGCTAAGTTCTGACGATTCCCCCTAAATGCCCTTAATGAATGCACAATCAAACTGAGTAGCACCGTCATTTATAAAGTTAACATCAATATATAATGTAATTTAGATTAGGCATGCTTGCGTAAATACCCCCTAGTACCCATAACAAAGATACTATTTAGTAGACATACTAATGGTAATGAGTATCTATTTATGTTTTTTTAACTTTTATGGTTAGTAACGCTGGCATCTATGAACTTTACAGTGCAAGTTTGAGCTGTCTATATACAAATTTAACTTCCATTTAATAATAAAATACTATTTACCCCGTTCAAATACAGTTTATTTAAGACTAAGTATTTTAAATTATGGTAATGGAAGGTTTTCCTAAAGACATTTTTCAACTTGACTCTGTATTTATATATACCTAGTCAGGTCACAAATTCTGTCACATGTTTAATATAAAATAATTGAAACAAGTTTATTTATTATGTAACCATTTATATACCAAAATTAACTTTCAAAACATAGATTCTTATGACAATAAAGTTTATTCAAATGACCTCCGTGAATTTGAAAACAGGTCTTCAAGCTGCGCGGCCAGTCGTCTATCGCAGCACGTTGAGCACGTTCGAGGTCCATGTCAATATCGGCGGCTGCCTTAATTAAGGATGTCTTGAGTGACTCCAAATTGGGATGAGGCTTTGAGCATGCCTTTTCCTCCAAGTGTTGCCATATCCTCTAATCTAACGGACTCAAATCTGGACTGGAGGAGGGCCAGTCTTCGTGCCGGATGAAGTCGATTTCACGCGCCGCCAGTCTGTTATTGAACATGGTATGAGAAACAGGTTCCACAAGGTTCGTCAGGACTGTATTTTGATACACAACTGCATTCGTTTTTACATCTTTCTCACAAAAATATATCTCTGTTAAGCCCCAATAAGAAACTCCTAACCATACCATGAGCGAGGATGGAAAATGACCTCGTTGGACACGCGGAATACGGTTGCTCGCTTCTTCACTACTGTGTGCGTACATCTTATCATTTTGTTTGTTGTAGCTCGATTCTACGGTAGAAATTTTTTCATCCAAAAAAAGAATTTCCCGATATTTTTTTCCCGCGTACCGCTTCAACAAAGCGCGGTATCTCTTCAGTCTCAGATCCATTAGACGAGCATTCAAACGATGTTCTGTTTTTCTTCGATATGCCCGAAGCCCTAAGTCTTCATTTAACACCCATTTCACCGTGGTTCTGCTTAACCCCATCTGGGCCAACAGTTTCTGCTTACGTTTGGGATTTCATTGAATTCGCACCTTCACAGCTTTTATCACTGCTGGAATCCTAACAGACCGAGGGCGACCACTTCTTGCCCTGTCATCTAGAGTCACACTAGAGTCTTCATTGTATCGTTTGATGGTACGATAAACGAATCTTTTGGTTATATTTAAATTTTACAATATGTCAAAAATTTTAATTGGCGCGTAACCGCAACGATGCAACGCAATAACTGCAACACGGTCTTCTTTAAGCGTCCACTCCATATTTAAAAATGAGTAAAATTCTAAAAAGTATACATTTTTATATTCATGAACAATTCGAAATTCGAATTCAATAAACTTTTTTGTGGCCAGCGTTCTAAAAGAAAAGTTTTTACTGTGTGAAAATTCTCTGACCTGACTGTGTATGTATACAATAAAACCCGATTTTACAGGGATTCAACCAAGAACGCGTCTTAAGCGGGAAAGCGTATTATGCGGGATTGCGGGATAGGGAAATTTTGGATGTAGGTATTGAGGTATTAAAAATTTTGTATGTTATAAAATATGTAGTGTATTATGACTACGTTATTTAGGCATAAGCAATTACAAGATTTTCAACATAATTTAACTTTTGCAGTGCGTCTTCGCTTTGATTCAAAGAAGTTACATAACGTTTTAAATCATTAACTGCTGGTAATGCCTGGGCGTGTGACAAAATCGGAGTTACTTCATCTTCTTCTTGATCATTATCACTTAGGGCCTCTTCTTGTGTGTTATTCACATTCTCAATAAGATCTACAATTGATTGAATTTCGTACGGTGCCACATTGTCATCAATGGAAGAATATACAGGAAAACACTGGGGGCCGTTTAACGTTCGTCGCTCAACAGTCGTCACATCAACCGCGGGCCGCTGCCGCAAGAGGTAATATGTGTGGTACGTTTTGGCGATTTAGGCATATTAAACGGGATGACGAATCGTATGAAGCGTGAAGAAATGTATGAAAACATGTCTCAAGTTGCACGGACTGACGCAAAATGGCGTATTATGCGAGAAATCGTATTAAGCGTGACCAATTGAGAAGAAACGGCAAGAAATTCAGCAAGGGCTGAATTTGGTACATGACTGCTTTCGAATGAGTACTACTGTAATATGTAGATCCTATGGATGTTCAATTCCATAGATAACGGGTCAGCGCATAAAATCCGTCTCGGTAAATATAGCCTCACTTGAGGCGTGAAATCTTATTTTAAATTACTGCGGTAAATACAAAACTAAGTAACGCGCTGGCCATAATCAGATATAATAATTTATAAAAGGTCGTATGTGCTAAATAACATTTTGTTATTTGTAACCTAATCCCTTGTGAGACAGTTGTTATTAGGTTCAACTTAAACGGTTTTAAAACATCTTTGTTCATTGGGAATCGAATGTAGCTGCATAAGTTTAAACATCGCGGACAGTTTTTAACTTTGATTTTGTATGCAATCCGATATCTGTAGAATTGTTGATCTAAGTTTTACTCTGTTTATTTTCTATTGTCTTTGGCGAATTAACGCGTGAGGGCGCTTTCATTAACTCGAGAGGGGAGTGTGTGACGATGACGAGTATGTTTGCGAACCTTTAGAGTACCGTCTGCAGCACGCTTTACACAGTAGTAAACTAAACACTCTGCTACAGATGCTTTACTACTGTACTGTAAGTTAGGAACGGTTGGAAGGATGCGCAGGGAACGTATTCGGGAGTAGCACGCGTGTACCAGTGATAGCCAGGACTCGTTGACGTATAATGCGATTCAAATAAGAATAGGAAAGCCAATGACCTCTATCTGTCAAATGTCGCTTGAGAAGTACGGTTTGCAAAAAAAAACCTGGAGCCCTTTTTTTAGCACTCCGCTAATTCAAGAATAAAAACCAAACATTTGTGAACAAACTATAACAAATATTGATAATTAATATCGGTTGATATTTATTTTATCACTTATTGAGCTTTGGCCATGAATGGTTGATAATCTAAATCGTCAACTAAATGTCACTTTAAGTTGCGTTCAGAAACTCGATTTCAAACTTTCGCTTACATAAAGGATGCATGTTCGTATGTGACCTAGTAATAGTGCATGATTGTTCATATCTACTCCGGCGGTAATGCAGAGATAAGCGGAATAGAAGAGCTAGATTCTGATTAATGTTTTTTCTCACAGTCTTAGTAAATAAATATTATTAAAAATCGATGGTTTTTTTTAATCTTTTTTGCTCACTCTACCTATTGGGTTTGAACTGACAGCTATGACATCACAATATGGCGCCCAGTCGGTCCTATTATTTGTTGAATCGCATTATAAAACCACGCGCGGTGCCGTGATTTTTCCCGCGCTCGTGTGCAACCGTTAATATTCGTAATAATAAAGTATAACCATAAAAACGAACTATTACCGTTTTACTGACTTACACTTCACTCCAGACGGTTACAACACTTATTTGTTTTTGACGTGGTAACGACTTGTAAATCGATGAACACCGGTTGCACGCACTCAAAAGTGTCACGTCAGTCACGTTATGTTATGTCACGAGTCACGTTATGTGACGTCATGCAACGTTAGTTCAACGCTTCGCGGTGTGTGTGAGGTTGAGGGATTCCTTCGACACCCTTTCCCCCACTGAAACCCCCTCTCCCCTGACAATCCCTCCCCGCCCAATATGGCCCTCCCTCTGACACCCTCTTCCCCCTCCCTGTCGTAGAGTCACTCACGTTATCACGTAAAATTATTCAAAAATGTAAAGAGAGGGTCACGTTGTAAAACTATAATGGAGTTAGATGAAATGGAGAATAGATTTCTTGAATTCATATTTCAGTAAGATAGACTTTTCAGTCCTTCCAGTAATATCATTAACAGAGTTCTGTGGCTCGTACCTAAATTATTTTTAAAACAAAAGTTACGTAAGTTTATTTTGGTTAAAACATATTAAACAATACCCTATACAAATGCGATTTTTCAGTAAAGTTAATGATATTTTCGTGTCGATGACCCGAAAAAAATAAACCTCCAAAATTAGTAGATTGTTCATTAACAATTGTATAATAACGCAAATACAAGGGGGCGTTTTTCAGTTCGCGAAATGGAGGGCATGGATTGAAAATAAAAATACCATACTATTTTTATTTTTCAATATATTTACCCTAATACATTTTTCTGATCTTTCAATCAGCTTATGTATACGTTTTTAGATAAAAAATGTTTTGTCTTTGTCCGAAAAATAAGTTCCTTCACTTCTTCATCAGTTCTTTTTTCAGTTTTGGATAGAGGTAATAATCACTCACTGGGAGCCAAGTCTGGGCTGTAGCGTGGATGGTCTAATATATCGGACCCACCTTACTTTGGCTGCTCTTGTGAATAACAACGCAGGCGCGTTGTCGTGAAGAAGAAGGACAGCTTTGGTCAATTTTCCCCTACTTTTTTCTTCGATGCTTTCTTGCAACCTCTCGAGGATAAAAGCATAATATTCTCTGGTTAAAGAAACGCTGTTATCTTCATAATCGGTCAACAGGATCCCTTCCAAATCCCAAAATACTGTTGCCATGATTTTTCCAGCCGATTGGGACATTTTAAACTTCTTGGGTGGTGGTGTGCCTTTTTTGTGTCACTGCATTGAGACCTGTTTTGACACAGGCTCATAATGATGGACCCAAGTTTCATCTCCAGTAAAAATTTGACTCAATAGTCCATCCTTATCTTCGCTACAGAGGTCACGAAACATTCGAGAACACTCCACCCGGCGTTGTTTTTGAGGCGGCGTGAGCATTCTTACAGTATGTTTTAAACTAACTTTCCTTGCTTGGTAAGGAACTTTATTACGGAACGGTACTCGTTTTCTTCCATAATGTACACTTTCTGTCCGATTGAGATGTTTGCTTGGCAATAGTTCAAAGACTAACGACCCTATTAAGCCAAAACCTGGTATTCATACTAATATTGAGTGGCTGAAGTCGTGGCCACCCCGATAATTACCTATTTTTATCATCTACCCTCCCATTCCGCGAACTTAAAAATGCACCCTCGTAGCAGTCAACTCAGTATTATGTCTGTTTAATAACCATCTGAGTCGTCTCATCTCAAATCTTATGTTTATCAATTACAACGATATTAACTAGTGGATAAATAACCCATTTGTTCGGTTATCAGAGATATTCAACAGAACTAATGGGAATAAAGGAAAAGGGAGCTGGAATTTTGTAAGGAATAACATTTTTACCACGCAGACGAAATCGCGAGCATTAACTAGTATAGTATTTTTCTTTCAATTATAAATTTTAAGTAAACCAATAAACAAAGGAAAATTTTTATTTAATGAATAATAAAAACAACACAAAATTAATGATACTTCACGTTTACAAGAATATTTTTCTCACTTCTTCTGTAATGTTTATAGCCGTAAACTTCTTTACTTTATGCAAAATTTTACATATGGTTGGATCAGATACAAATTTACAAACATAAATATCTCCGTTATCTGTATCTGCTTCCAAACGCTTCAAAACACTGTTTACTTGTTCTGTGTAAGGTGTCACCTTTTCTTCGGGAAGTAGTACGAAATGCCAAGGTAAACAAGTTTTTAATACTTTCCATATAGCGTCTTGAGACACAGAGTAAGCTAAATTTATATCTTCTTGCGCCACACTCTTCTGTTCTTCTTCAACGTGTTCGATTTTCGGAGATTTTTCATCCAATGGCTCCACTTCATTCTCGCATGGGCGGCATATGTACGTTGCTTTAACATCTGTTTCAGATTGCGCCACCTTACTACGGCTTGCAATAATACTCTTCTGTGCTTTTGGCACACGGGCACTTTGAGAACTATCCAGCTTCTTAGCTTTTATGCAATGCAATGTAATACGATGTTTATGGAAGTGAAACTTCTTTACGGCTGAGGTGTAAATCGAAAAGTCCTAGGGAAAGTTGATCTTATGGATAGGAAATGCGTCACGAGCGTCACACTTCTTCCCGACGAGCATAAAAGTTGGAGGGTAACTCGGCGAAGGCTGAAACGCAAGAAGCGTCACGAGCGTCACACCCGACAATACATATGAGGAGCTGGCGAAACGCATCTGGTCAAACTACCTTTTTTACAGTCCGGACTTCGGTTTCGGCCCCGTTGAATTTGAATATTAAATAATTTTCATGACATTGACATTTAATGTCATTTTGTTTTATACAGCTCCTGTAAAATTTAATTTTATGTAATTATACCGTTTTGTTCGCCAGCTCCTCATATATGAGTGATGCGTGCGCTGCACCATTCCCTTATGCCTTATGCACCGCCTAAGGTTAGGTTATTTAGGAAAAGAAGTTTCGCTTTAGATGTGTGTTCCGAGCACACAATATTTTATTATTCTGTTTTTCGTTGAATTGAAATGGCAGATTAAAATTAATGATTGGCTAGGGTGTTCGGTCAGTGCTCGAGTAAGTTAAGAAATTTCGCAATCACGGAACAGAAAAAAAATACCGTAACGACCAGTCGCTGCGCCCAATTTACCGGGTTTACATGTAAATGTGGTCGTTGCTGCCACTGGTCGCAGTCGTGGCCGTCTGGATCTGTCTAAAAGACTGCTTACTTCCTTTGCGTGTATAGCCCGCCTGATGCTAAGCATTTACTATACCAGACCATCACTGGTACATTGCCTACCCTGACCCTCTTCGATACCTTGTGGAGTCACACACAAGGTAGCGAAGAGGGTCACCGTCAAAAAAAATGTGTAAATTACTTCCACAGACAACTGAAAATATATAAATAATAACGGTTATCAGAGATATTCAACAGAACTAATGGGAATAAAGGAAAAGGGAGCTGGAATTTTGTAAGGAATAACATTTTTACCACGCAGACGAAATCGCGAGCATTAACTAGTATAGTATTTTTCTTTCAATTATAAATTTTAAGTAAACCAATAAACAAAGGAAAATTTTTATTTAATGAATAATAAAAACAACACAAAATTAATGATACTTCACGTTTACAAGAATATTTTTCTCACTTCTTCTGTAATGTTTATAGCCGTAAACTTCTTTACTTTATGCAAAATTTTACATATGGTTGGATCAGATACAAATTTACAAACATAAATATCTCCGTTATCTGTATCTGCTTCCAAACGCTTCAAAACACTGTTTACTTGTTCTGTGTAAGGTGTCACCTTTTCTTCGGGAAGTAGTACGAAATGCCAAGGTAAACAAGTTTTTAATACTTTCCATATAGCGTCTTGAGACACAGAGTAAGCTAAATTTATATCTTCTTGCGCCACACTCTTCTGTTCTTCTTCAACGTGTTCGATTTTCGGAGATTTTTCATCCAATGGCTCCACTTCATTCTCGCATGGGCGGCATATGTACGTTGCTTTAACATCTGTTTCAGATTGCGCCACCTTACTACGGCTTGCAATAATACTCTTCTGTGCTTTTGGCACACGGGCACTTTGAGAACTATCCAGCTTCTTAGCTTTTATGCCTCCTTTACCTTTTTTACCCTTTTTGTCAGCATCAGGTGGTGGCTCAGAATATTCCAATTCAATAACCGAAGTCGCTTCGCATATGTCAATTACAGCGTTAATCAACTTGTCTAAAAATTGATTAGTGCATTTAAGAGCACAGGCTAAACAATCATCTCTATACTTTTTTTCTTTAATGAATTTACAAATGACTTCTTCACACTCTTCAAGACTATGACATGTCTTTTTACCTACTACCATTGATAATGCAGTCACAAATCCTTCTATTGGATCTGCATTCTTACAAAAAGCTAAGAGAAATGCAGGATAATTCATCTGATTTTCGTTCGTTTCATACAATTCAAATATGAAATGCTTGATTAAATTTTTTCTAAGTTGCATATACCTATCTTCTTTATGAAATTCTTTTTCGTACCAGAGCTCTTCATTAACAAAATTATCTCTGGAAATAACTTCAGAGGAATCTATATCAATGCATCTGTACCTTTTACGAATATGCAGCAATTCATCTACATTTGGAAAGCGAATGTTTAAACAGTAAATGAGAAAATCTCTCCAATCGACATGAACGTTTTCACCGAATAATAGATATACGAGTTTGGGGATTTGCTCTACATCAACCCGTTTCCATATTTCAGGGACAAGTGGACCGTTACACGATTCTTTGCCAAAACATATGAAGTCTTGGAGCATGTAAATAAAAGCTTGTTGTAAAGCTATACCAGTTGGAGCAATAATTTTGAACGAAGATCTTAATCTTGCCAGTTGACTTATTTTAAATTCGGTATCTATATCCATTTCTTTTAGTTCTTCTAGGCCAAGATTTCGGGCAGACGGTGCAAATTGAATAAGATTTGGATCAATTACGAAAGCGTCGTGTTCAAGTACTAAACTTTCAGGGATTTTTCTACCATCTTCTATAGCCATTTGCAGATATTTACATAACCTATCAACCGCTTTGATTTCATTCATATAATAAGAGTCTATGTTATTTTGTACTTCGGTAAACGTCTTATAAATATGATCATTAAATAATTTCATCTCACGATAGCACATATACTGAAGTGCTTGCATTCGCAAACACGCTCTGTACATTTCACCATTAATTCCCATTATCCACTCATCTATGCATTTCAAAGCATTTAGTTTAAATATTTCTTCTATATTAATGGACTCCTCAGATGTTGTTTCATCCCTTTTTTTTATCGGTGGTGCAATTTTTGCTATTTCACTGTACTCGCGACTGATAAGTGATCGATATGAATCATTTGTATCTTTTATTACTTTTATAGCGAATTTAACGTTATTCTCTATTATCATATTAAATGGATTATTACTGTAATCAATTTGAACGTTTTTTAATTGTAAATCTTGAAAAATATTTTTCAGTTGCCTGTAAACTTTATCTTCACCACTTTTACGACTTCCAGAGGTTTCCTCTGATTCTTTGTATATTTTAGTCAATTCTTTGGAAGAAAGCCTATCGTTTGGCGGCATGTGCTTGATCATTGCAAAGTAAAAGTCATGCAGTGCTTGGTACGTCAGTATAGATCTGAAAAACAAAATGTTGTTAACCCAAGACATTAAAAATGCCAAACACAATTGGAATTATTGATATTCATTTCATTAATATTGAGCTTACCTATAATAAGTAGTAATACTACTATAAAAGTAATATATGAAGTACAAATCTTTCTCTATAAATTACTTTTTTACCTGTTTAGTTCAACTTGCATGCATGAAACATATGTATTAACCATACAAGTCAACTCTTCCATTGCCCAGTTTTCACAAATAAGCGCAAATCTTTGCTGTTCAGCAAATAGTTTTCTTTCATCGCATATATTGTACAAGTTGCTTTGTAATTCTTTAACTCTGCAGTGCCACTCATTTTTTGTGAGATTAATATGTCGCCAATCAGATTCGAAGTCATTGTACTGTTTTTGAAATCGACTAACTATGTCTTGTTTATAGGAAGGTAAAGTAATAATCTGATCCATCTTGTCTTTTATAAATGTACCATAAGGTATCAAGCAATTCATTTGCAAACGCTTAGCAAAGAAAAGTTGTTTCATATCATTAATGTATGTTTTTTCTGTTTCTTCCCAACAAGTTGCCAATGCTACTCCAATTGTTATTGCTATTGGAATTTCTCCATAGTTCCAATCTTCCTCACCAGGCAATAATTTTATATCTTCAGAACTCAAAAACGTTTTGCTGACAGCTTCTCCGATTATTTCGCCAGACTTCATCGTATTCTCATCAGTCTCTCCGTCAATAGAATCCGGAGCTTTTACAACTTCTAACTCATTTTTAGAATTTGATGATTTGCTTATTTTAGACGATTGACGTAGTTTTTCTTTTGATTTATTATTGGATGTTTCAGGTTTAACTATTTTTGATTTCATTCTTTTATCATCTGAACTGGGAAAATCGAGAAGGCTTAATACATTTTCTCCAAATAATAAATCATAGGACTTTAAAGGTACTACGAAATCTCCTATTATATATTTACATATTTGAGCTAAGAAATCTTTTTCTATTAGTTCATAATACATGCTATAATTTATTCCTAGAACGGAGTAAAATCTATCAATAAAATCCGAATTTTCTTCTGTTAAATCCCAAAGTACTGGTTCTTGAAGAATATCATGAGTTTCAATTAGCTTTATATAACAGGTAAAATAACTTTCAAATTGTTTTTCTATTCGCTTTTTGTGTGGATCATTGACTAATTTAGAAACTCTCAGTTCCTTGTATTGATCTTTTTCCTTTTTTCTATGTTTTATAATACTCTGTTCCAAATAAATATCATCTCGGTCATCTAGTTCTCTTTCATCTGGAGGAATGCGGCCAGAAAAGGCTTCTTCTAAAATTTGAGCTTCTCTATAAGAATTAGGGTAGTTAACAATTACAAAACCTTTGATGTCGTTCTGGTCCTTAAGATATTCAACAACCATAGCTGCTAATAAATAGTCTGTTAAAGACTCGCCAAAGTTAAGTGTTTCATAAGTATATTTACCAAGTTCTGCAGCTGGAGAAAGAACAATCTCTTCTTCTGGAATTGTTTTTGGAGTTTGTGTTTGTTTCGTATTTGGTGGCAAAGGTCCAAATATCGCGGGGCCATAAAGCTCACTGGATTTAGTTTCAATTTCATCGTCAATTTTCATTAATCTAATAAGCTCCTTGTCTGGATCTTGATTAGCTGCGATTATAAATTTATCAAAAGAAAGCTCGATGTCTGTACAACCAATCATTTCTGTTTTAAATTGTTTTAAACAATAATTGATAGCCGATTCTAGTCGAAGAACGAATATTTTTTGTAATTTAAGCAAAGTTTGCATTGCAACAGTAATGGACCTATCAGGAAGTCCACGTAAGAGAGCTTTAGCTGAATAGTCAGGCAATGCTGCTGGAGGCCGAAGAGGTGGATATGGATATTTTATATCAAGTAAAGTATATACCAGATGCCCCAATATTCTAGTTCCAAGATATTCATATTTCCTCTCTTCTGATTCAGAATCGTAATTTGGTATTAGTATGTCTAAAGTCCACGGGGACGAGTAATTATGGTACTCTACGAACTCGCTATCGTTTAAAGCTTCTTGGCGCTCCAACTCTAATCTTTTGATTTCTTCTACTTCCGGCAATATTTTTTCATCTGAACCAGGCTCTTCTAATAAGTCCTCAATTGGATCAAGAATATCAAAGATAGGCTGCTGTTTAAAATATAAAGACTTCCATTGGTGGATGTAATGGCTAGGAATTTCATCGCCAATTAGTTTCGAAAAATAGGCATATTTACTTGCATAGTCTACAATAGACAGCATTGTTTCATAACATATATCGTAATAGTGTTGGCGTTTTCTTTTTATTTTCTCTGCATATAATTTCTGATGTAACATATTCTGTCTCTGTTTTTCAAAATTTATTTCTGCAACTTCTAAATGTATTTGCTCCTTGACATTATCTAAAAATTGATGAAATTGTTGCTCCCTCTGTTCAGAAAATTCTCTTTCGGCTTGGGCTCTATTGTTTACTAAATTTCGTGCCTGTTGCTTTGTTTCCATCAGTTTTGTGCACATTTGCTTTTCGAATTGAGAAAGTTTCATAACTTTTTTAGCCAATTCTTTATCTAACTTAGCCTCTTCTTCAGCCACTGAAAGATCCCATAAAGAAGCACTAAGCACATTTCGAATTTGTGTTTGAAATTCTTTGGTATCTGTCTTTCTGCTCATTCTAGAGTATAAATTATCCATATATTCTTTTACCCAATCAGAACCTGTCATTGATTGTCTCCTTTGCGCAGACTTTTCTTCCATTTCAATGAGTTCTTCATACGTATAATTTTTGAATTTGCAGGGGTATTGCAATGCAAACTTTTCCATTTCATTTTTCGTAGTATCAGGCACTTGCTGTTGTTTTTGTTTCACATGAACCAATGGGGTTTTAGATTCATCCAATTGAGATACCATTTTAGAATATTTTTGACGAATATAATCATAAGTAGCTTTTACTTGCTCATTTTTCTTCTTTTGCCATTCAATATACTGTCCTTCATCAAGTAATGGTTTGGAAAGATTGTCGACGAATGATGTCTCTTCTTCGGGTATTTTTTGTACAGTAAATCTACTTTTCATCTTATCGACGAGAGTAGAGACCATCTTTCTTTCGCGTTTAATAAAGTTTGTACGGTCTCTCTTATCTAAATGAAGAAATAATTGGTAAAAAAGTCGTAATAACGCAGTGCCTTTACCTTCTTTAATGCCTGCCAAGTCAGAATCACTAACGTAAACTTCAACTTCTCTTAGCCATTCTATCAAGTATTTCCAATTGTCATTAACATCTTCAGGGGCGTTACTTGATCTAATTAAAAAATGTTTTTCTTCGTTTATGACATTATAGCTAAGCAAAACACATGCAATTATATGTCCATTCATCATAAGCTCGCCAAACTCCTCTGCTTCCCATTTGATAGGCCTTCGCAATCTCTCCGTGAGCCATTCTTTAAGAATTTCAGCCATAATTTTTTAATTTATTAAATTTATAATACCGCAGGTGCGAAAGCATTACGACAACAACGTCATTTGCTGATTTATGTCATTATGTCAAGTGTCGATGTGGTGGCCAGTAGTGAGGCCAGAAGGTATTTGCTAGGTCAATATTTCACATATTCATCATTGCCACTAGCAGTGGCTATTGAAGAGGTGGAGGTGGAGATGGCCACCACGAAGTAAACATAGTTCAAATAATGTTCTCTTATAAAAGTTTATTGAGTGTAAAGATAATTGGATGCCATAGGTAGAATGATTTATTTTTCATTTTAAACCCATATAAATACTTTGTTAAGTAAGTCGTTATCTACTAGACTTCATAAAAAATACATAATGGGTACTAGGGAATGAAGAACCGGTGCAAAACACGATTTTCGGGACCACCCTATAAAAGAACCGGTACTCCCGAAACTTTAGGGATATTCAGAATTCCTATATTTTTATAGAATATTTATGGGTTTTTTTTAGGAAAGGCAACAAAGCGTAGTATTTTTCATATATTTATGTCTTATAATTATTACTTATATAATTTATTTTTTAAAATTTCAGCATCTACATTATCAGTACAACGCCGTCGGTTCTGCACACTACTACTGCATAGGCTTCACCAAACCTCTAGAGCGTTTAATCTTGAGCTATTCGCACCTTCACTAGATCGTCGGTCTATCTGGAGAACGGCCTACTCTCTGAACGTGTCGTCCGGTGCGCGGTTTCACACTTCGCTAAGGTTCCACGTCATTCCATTCCTATTTTATTTTTCCTACGGAATTTTAAATTTCTGATTGAAATCACAAGAACTTAGCATGCATCCCTCCCTCCAATGTTCGCCCTGCGACTCGTTGAAGTCCCCCATCACATGGTATATATATGCTCTAAGGTGATGGGGGATTTCAACGTAAAGCTAGTCGAGCGAGATGGTTCCGAGAGAGAGTAATTTTGGTTCATCATCATCATCAGCCTATTAATGTCCTCACTGCTGGGGCACAGGCCTTCCCTATGGATGGAATAGGGAGATTGGGCCATGACCCACCACGCGGGCCCAGTGCGGATTGGCGGGTGCTAACGACTGCAGATGCAGCCAGGACCAACGGCTTAACGTGCCTTCCGAAGCACGGAGAAACTCGAGATAGAAGATTTTTGGTCAGCCATCCCATGACCGACCACTGCGAAAGTTGCTTAACGTCAACGATCGCAGCAGAAGGCGCTAACCACCTGCGCCATCGAGCTCCTCTATCAATTTTGGTTATGGACAGCTTTCTGCGCTTCATTTTTAAAATACAAAAGTACACCGAACACTTATCCGAGCAGGTGAGGTGAAGTATAAAAAATAGCAGGAGCAGCGGAGCTAGGTCGGTCTGACCTGATTAAAGGCAATTTAGCATGAATTTACTTAATAGTATAGTAAAAAGAGTTTAGTTTATGCAAGTAATCAAGCTGATTTAAGGTCAAGTAATACAAACTAATTCCAATACAATCCATGGACCTTTTTTTTTTCGTCAGGAAAATGCATGACGCATACCCAGCCACCTGGGAGTGACAACGGGGTTATGTGGGACTCCTCCCGACCCGTCTTGCCCGTCCGCTCAGCCAGTTCTGGGACTAGCTCAGCGAACGCCCAGGAGGGGGGGGGGGGGGGGCTACCCACTAAAAACCTGACGATGCCCCACACCTCACTCGGTCCACGGTGCCAACCAGCGTGGTTGAGACAACGGCACTAGATGAGGTCACGGGAACCCTTACGGAATCTTCCGCGACCTCACCAGTGAGCATCCGAGTCAAACGGACACATCCCTCTCCCCCCGGAGGAGGAGAGTGTTTGGGGATGCCCTGCAGCATCATGGGCATCCCCAGCCATCAGCAAAGACCTGTGCAAGGCAGGATCTGAACTTCCCAAGTCCAAACCCCGCAGGCCTCTGCCAGGGAGAGCCTGAAGATGACGGGGGTGCCCCCGTCTCCTTGCCCTCGCCCTCCTACGTCGGAGAGAGTCCACGTGAGCTGCTCCTCGCGAACTCTCTCTGCAGCCTCCTTCTGCGAGATGACATCCTCGCAGAAAGAGGCCACGGCCTGCCAAGATCTGTCGCTGCCCAGCATAGCATTTACTATGCCGGGCAGAGAGAGATCCCTACCCACTGCCGCTACCAGAGTACGGCGCTGCTGGGACCACGCCGGACACTCCTCAAGGGTGTGTCGTGCTGTATCTACAGCAGCGCAGCAGCAGATATTGTCCAAAGCAACCATGCCCAGACAACACTGGACTTCCTCCAGCGATCCAGCACAGGACGGATCGCTTCTAATGTCTGGATGCCAAAAATAGAAGCCCGCATCATTTCTCCCCAGAGTTCCCCTAAATTTTCCTCTATCTGGCGTCTAACTCTGGTCAGGTTCGCTATATCAGGACGTTCCCCGCGGCTTCCCGCCGCGGTCCGCCCCTTATGTAGTTCCGCCAGGACTTGGGCCTCCAGTTCCCATGGTGGGTTTCCTGCTAGAGCACAAGCGGCTGCCCAAGAGACCGTTCTGTATGCTCGTATGGCCCGAACTGACACCGTTTTCTGAGCCTTACGAAGAAGTGCTTTGTTCTTCGCGTTTAAGCTTTCCGCCCAGACCGGTGCTCCATATAGGGCCATACTGCGTATGACCCCTGCATACAGTCTCCTACATTTTATATTTGGCCCCCCAATATTTAGCATTAGTCTGCCAAGTGTCGCAGCAGCTCCAACTAACCTCGACGTCAATTGCCGGAAGTGCTCGTCGAAATACCAACGTCCATCCAGATGCAGTCCCAAATATTTGATGGACGGCTTCAGCAGCACCCTCTCTCCGTCCATTTCGACATACGCCCTGGCTGGAGGCGCGGCCCGTAAAACATGGTTGCCTCCGTCTTGGAAACCGCCACGCCAAGCCCTAGTGCTCTTATTCGGCCCACCACTAGCGAGACTGCAACCGTTGCTCGTCTCTTTACCTCTCTATAGTTGCTCCCTCTTGCAATGACCAGTGTGTCATCTGCATAGCAGATGACATTCATTTTTGGAAGCAGCACCGCTCGTATCACCCAGTCGTACCCGATGTTCCACAGGAGTGGTTCATGGACCGACCCCTGTGGAACACCGCAGACCATAGGATGGCATCTCATATTTCCTACCCTATCAACATAGAGCACTTCTCGGTCTTGAAGGTAGTGCTTTATGATCCGTCTTAGGTATGACGGGAGTTTGTGATATCGCAGCGCCTCCTTTATACAGCTGTAGGGGAGAGTATTGAAGGCATTTGCAATATCCAATGATACTGCAATTACCATTTCCCCTCGACTCACCACCCTATCTGCGATTCGTCGTAGCGCCAAAACAGCATCGATAGTAGATCGCCCCCTACGGAAACCATACTGATTCTCCGCCAGATTAGACCCCACTGTGTCCAAATGGTGGACAACACGATCTGCAATTATCCTCTCTAGAATCTTACCCATTTCATCCAGTAGGACTATCGGGCGATATGCTGCCGGAGACTGGTTTCCCTTCCTTTCTCAGTAGACAGAGCCTGCCTCGCTTCCATTGCTTAGGGAACACGCCGAACTCTAAACATCTGTCCAACACCGTTCGGTAATATACAGCAAGATGCTCCAGTACCAACGGAATTATCCTCCCAGGAACGCCATCTGGACCCGGGGCCTTTCTTTTGGTTCGGAGAACTGCCACCGCTTGCTCAAGCTCTTCCGATGTGACCGCTAAAAACTCTGGACTCTGTTCCACTTCCGGCACCAGGGAAACCGCCATTAATGGAGGTATTCTGGGGGCCACGGTGGAAAATAGCACCGACACCACATGCTGCAGAAGTCCCGGTTCCATCGTTTCCGTGGGCGGAGCCTCTTGTCGAAACTTGTTTCGGATCCTCCTGTAGGGTCTCCCCCACGGGTCCCTATCTAGTTCAGCTAAGTATTCGTCCCATGCCTCGGTTTTCGCCCTACAGATGGCTATACATAGGGCGTCTTTTGCTACCATGAAAGCCATCTCGAGGCGTTCCTCCTCGCCAGCCGCTCGTGTTCTTCGACGTCTAAACCTTTGCAGAGCTCGTCTTGACCTAATACTGACAGTCCGGAGGGTACCAATATCTTCTGTCCACCAATAAACCTGCCGTTTGCATGGTGCAGCTCTCACCCGCGGCATAGCAACACTGCAGATGGTCTCAAGTGCTCTTCGCAGACGACCCACGGACTCCTCTACATCCCGGATGATGGCCGACTCAAGATGCCATGCCTGTGTAATAGATGCTTCTTCAGCTGCTTCACCATCTAGTTTTGTCACTGCCCACTTTGGGAATGAAGCAACACCCAGAGTGGCACTCGGGTTATTCACTGGCTCTGGTACAGAAGAAACCCTAAATCGGATATATCGATGGTCAGAAAGGGTCTCTGCCTCGGTCAGGACTCTCCAACCCTGCAGACGTTCTGCGATGACCGGAGTCGCTAATGTAAGGTCGACTATGGACCCACCATTATGTCTTACACAAGTTTGCGTGTTGCCCCTATTCATTATCTATAGCATAGCCGCCCATTCAAATACTACCTCACCCCTGACCGTCGACGAGGGGGAGCCCCAAGCCGTGTGTTTGGCATTAAAACTCCCATAACAATGACCTGCATAGGAGCAAGACGCCTAACAACTCCGGACAGATTATCAATCCAGACTTCGAAATCTGCCACACTTCTGTTCGGGGAGAAGTAAGTTCCTACCAAAGCCACCTCTCCCCAAACTGCCGATACATAGCCTGAACCCTTCTCTCTCACCAGTAAAGTGGGTGAATTACCTAACTGCGGCGCAATTATTGCCACACTTTCATCCAGGTCTCCCACCCAGTTAGAACGAGGCAGAACTCGATACGGTTCGGCGACAACTGCCAGATCAATGCACCACTCCAGCACGGACTGCGTCAGTAAGTCCTGAGCACGGGCGGAGTGGTTGAGGGGGAACCTCAACCATTCCTTGTAGGAATTTAATGTGTTGTCTTGACATTAAATCACCATTTCTAATTCTTCACGATCAGGGCTACCCACCCTTGCAGGATCAGCCCTCACAATATTAGCCCTTGGTGGGCCCCTATTTGTTTTCGCCATCGTAGGTGGCGGATGGCAACTCTTACTTCCCATTATGTGGGAAGAAGGCCACTGGTAGCGCCAGGCACTTGGATGATGCGTGCCCTCGTGGCTTTATGCCTAAATTGTACACCCTCTATGTCGAGGTCCTCGAGCTGGACCACATTCTTGGCCTTCCTTATAGCTTGCGCGTAAGTAAGCCCCTCCTTTTCAGCCTCCGGCGTGATAGTAACTACAACCGCAGTAGTACGAGGTGCAGTTAGCTTTCTCTTCTGCTCCATTTTTTTCGCAGGCTGTTTAGTCTGTGACTTTGAGGACTCGAGCACCGACGTAGTAGGCGGTGCCGGAATCACTTTGACTTTTTGAGAGGAAGGGAGAAGTTGAGGACAATTCTTCTTCTTCTTCGCCACGGTTGTCCAAGCTTCTGGGGACCTCTCGATGGGAGCCAACCGGGATTCCTCTGTGGACACCTGTTGTGTCGTATTCCGGATAGCTGTTGATGTACTTGGTGCCTCTCTTCTTACATCAGATGCAAGCGGTGGCCGCAGTCTTTCAGCTGGAGGAAGTCTAGCCTCTAAGCTCTCCAGGCGAGTATTAAGCATAGTTCCTACGGTGTTGAGAATAAACTGCTTTAGCAATTCCATTGAATCATCCGTAGGGGTGAATTCTGGAGTCGCAGTAGCCGTCCTTTCTTCTGTGGACTTTTCCTGTCGCTTTGACCTCTCTGAGAAAGCCTGTCGAAGCGCTTTTAATTCTCCGCACCCTCTCAATTTCCCCGCACCCATAGTTTCGTAATCGGAAAGGGGACCCCTGTCTTTCCCCCCCCCCCCCCCCCTTGTTTCGCTTCTTGGCAGATCGATTTGCCTTTTCTAGTTTCTCTTGGAACTCCTCCTCAAAATCGCGATCCTCTAATTCTTGGAGTTGAGTCTTCACCTTCGACAATCCGAAACATGCACCTGAGACATTCGTCCTCCCCCCTCTTCGTCCTGTAGAGACTTTTGGCGCCGTGGCCGAAGTGGCCTCCATGTCATCGTCATCTGAATTAAATGCAACCGTGTCATTACGTCTCACGAGTTCCTGATTTCGCCAATTTGCCACCCCTATTAGTAGGAGTTGCTGGGCGTCTGAATATAACGTCTGTATCCATTGAGTCTAAATCTATGATATCAGCAGTGAGTTCCGCAATGTCTGCTTGTGCAGTGACTGCTTACGCAGATTCGCAGCCTGTTGTTCAGCCCACTCCTGAGCTAATCGTCTGTATCTGGCATCATCCATCTTCGCAGCTGTCGGAACCGCTTTGTTGTTATCATATAGCACTTCTCGGGGAGTACTAGTCACGTCCGTAACAACAACCCTTGTCTGCTGTGGGATCAATGCAAAGTCATCAAGATTCTCCGAAGCGTCTGTCAGCAGTCCGTTACCCTCTTCACATTCTAGTCTTTTCGTCTCTTTCTTTTTTCCTTTTCCTCCCCCTCCTCGCAATCTTAGGACGCAGTTTATACCGGGACCCAGCGTCAATTTGTCCATAGAACGGTTGTTGCCCCCCCCCCCCCCCCCAAGGATACATGGGGCAGCCTGGAACCGAAGCTCCAGGGTGGGCCTCCCCGCATAGACGGGGGACCTGGGGATATACTGTAGTTTTACAATCGTCCATTTTATGGTAGCCTCTTAGGGGCGAGGCAGCCCCACTTCCACAAACACAACATGAATGGTTTTTAAAGAGGTGTCCTTCCTCGTAGCCCCCACCCCAAAAGGTAGCGGCCCCCGATCCCGCTCCACCTGCGGGGCTACGAGTTGGCCAGAAGTTACACAGCTCGCGCAACAACTGCCCCGTCAAACGAACCCATTACAGAGCTGGCCTATCTGGCCGTGGCAGGCTTGCCTCTTCTTAGCCAAGAAGAGGAGTCTGGTCAACCACCCGGCAGTACCCCAACGGCACTGAAGGAATCCTAGCCCCCTCCCCTACTTGGCTGCCGCTACCCATGATCCACAGGACGCCAGCCGAGTTCCCCTGTCTGGTTTTAGTCCGCGCCGGCCGAAACCGGTAACCTCCATATCTGGAGGCCATTCCCCTATCCGCCACCTGGAGACGCGTCCGATAGCAAATCCAGCAACTGCCACGGACAATCCATGGACCTAGGATTTTACAAAGTTAACATTTTTAAACTGGCAATAACACTTATTTGTCTGTCATTCATTATTATGACTTTTTGTTGTTTATTTTCACTATTTTTTACGCACGTTTCGTAAATTTCGCATTCGTTTAATTCGTAATGAAATGTAATGAATTTGAAAAAAGTGTAAGAAACTTCTATTATTTCCAAATAATAGACTTTGTATGATTTAAGTGTTTGTACTAATGAATAATTACGTTGTTGCAGACACCTCGTCACCACATGAACATTCAGAATTTGGATAAAGCATTGCAAGTCCTCGGAATGTTTAGTCCAAATGTTATAACAGAAGCCCGACATGAGTATTTGACTCAGAAACCTGAAGCAAAACCCAGCACTTTGCGATATAGCTCGCGGTACGTATCGAACGTCACGGTTGGGTATTGTATGAGAAGGATGACAAACAAAAACAGGCTCTGCCCTTATGTTCTACCAGTGAGGCACAGAACTAAGAGTGAGAATTCGGACGCTATGACTAGTGATGTGAACGATGTTGGGTGCGAGTTCAATGGAGCGGTCGAACCTTCTACGAGCGGGCTTGGCGCCCACGAGTGTGTGAAAAATCCCGTGATTAGTAAGCGATGCCAGTCGCTCGAAAACCTGAACCTATTAGTGGAGCCACAACCAGCTTCAGAGGTGTCACCAGACATGGACTGCATGTCAACGAGAATTCAAAAACTACAGGTAGATGAATGACAGCAGTTCATGTGGTGATGCCATAATTCAATTTTGATAGGGGTAGTTGTAGTATTCATGGATGTTTTCAGTGTAATATTTCCTTGGATGAAAATCGTTCTCACTAACACATTTGCATTTTTTCGTGTATAAATTATTATAACTTTCTATTTTTGCAGTAAATTAGTCTTATGGTTTTTGCTAACAGTAAATTCATAGAAAGTAATTGAAGTAGCTCTTATTTTTAGCTTATTAATTTGTTAGTAACTCACTTATAGTTTTTTTCCAAAATTTGTGCCAATGGGTTTGATATTTTACAGACTAACTGTTTTGTTAGTTTTGTATGCATCTTTTTTATTTATCTTCATGCCTCTAATAAAACAGAATGGCAACCTAGTGAGAATGATATTCAGAGAACTTAGTATAATTACATGAATGTTTTAGCTTTTCCTGTTCAGTCAATCTCACAAATTTAATTTTAAATATTGTAAAGAATCCCTTAACACAGTAGGAAAATACTCAGGTTATTTTTAAATTTAACCACCTGCACAGTAAATGATGTATGTTTACATATGGGCAATATCAATACTTAAAAAATGTCTATAAACAATTACTTTTTCAGTAATAGAGATGGAAATGTGTAGAAATGTTCGTTAAATGTTCCTAGCTCATTGATATATTGTATTAAGTTGATTTGTGCATGTTTATTTCTAGTTTCAATGTAAAATCTTGATGCAGCTGTGTTAAAATATGTCTAATTAAAGCAAATTGCTCAAAATCTTTTATAACGGGTAACTTTATCAGCATGCTTAAGTAATGAATGAATGATGATTTTGTACCCAAAATTTTAATCAATATTACTATGAGGTTGTTAACTTTTAGAACTTTATTGATTTTGATGGTTACCTTAACTAAATACCACCTAAGTATTTTAAGGACAAATTTATTATTATTTTATCTAAGTCACAGGATACGTTCAGGCTGATTCATGTGAAAAACTATTTTTGCTGTGAGTGTAAATTTTAAATGATAATGTTAAATAACATAAAAGTGTTTCTTTTTTCTTTTTATAAATAACTCTATAAAGCAGTATTAGTAGACAGGTCTACAAAGTACAAAATGAGGGCAAACACCAATATGCTTAGTATATTTCTACATGATGAAGCCATAATTGTGATATGAATCACAATACTATAAAGAGTGTTTTATTTAATTATTTTTTCAAATTATTTGTATATTGGCAATATTACTATTTTACATAAATTTCATGTCATGTACTGACCATAGTTCAATACATCAAATGCTAAGTCTTAAGACTGGTCATAGATCTCAAAATATTTCCAATTTATTACCATCATGTACCTACCTAATTCATACAATTACCACTGGTTCAATTTTGTGACTTAGCAAGAGATACTTATGTTTGTTAACATATTTTGTTATTATCTAATTTAATAATTGAAATAAATATTGCTTTAAATAATGTTGTCCTTTTCCTTCCAAGATTCGCTTTTATTTTAAAAACAATGAGCTTCTCAATATCTGTAAATTTGATATTTTAATGCTTTTGAAACATGTAATATAATACTAGTGATACACCCTGGCTTTGCATGGGTAAAATTTATTTTAAAACAGTAAAATAGAGCCTCTGTTAATCAGCGATAATGTAGCATAGTGAAAGATTGGGAAGCCAGTGGACTGCCACTGACCAGTTCCAATTCCAATTTGAAATTCTAAACTTCTAATAAACAGCTTTATGGAAGGTACATCCACTAATAAATTGTACAGCTTCATAAAAATATAAGGTAATAAGGTGGACAAATGTATGTTAAGAGCAAAGGTTCAATTATATATTTGCATTTAAAGTCATCTAAATATTGTAGACAACCAACAGTCTTATATTTCTTCTGATCAAAAGTCTCCAAATACATAATGATATTTAATATGTACCCATCGTAACTGTTCATTGGAATCTTAAGTGTCTAGAGTACTCATAAATATCTTCGCTACATGGATTATTCAATTTAAATATAATTAAACTTATCAACTTGGAAAGGGATCGTCGAATCCTCAAGAAAGGGAAACTTAGTTTTTTTTTATTGATCAAAGTATTGAGTTATGTTAAAACTCTTTGAACAAATGTTTTTGTGTATGATTTTAGCTATCTAGTACTGCGAGGTTACCGGTATTTTAAAATTAACCCTGTATAATTAATTATCTTAACACAACATAATTATGAATTATGTTGTTTCGATAATATTAACCACTCTGGCCGGTTACAACAATAAGATTATCTAACAGCACATATAAAATTGAATTTATGTATCTTCGATCATTTTGATTAGTCTTCACACTTCGATTTTTATGAAGCTGACTGTACCTATTGAAAAAAAATGAGTCTAGTAGATTTTTACTTGTATTTATCCAAAATGGTACGTGATTACTCTCTACGTGTGCTAGTAGTCTACTTCACGAGAGCACGAGAAAGGCCAAGTGCGGGACGAATGGTGGCGTATTGTGAAGCGCGCCACCAAAACCCTGATGTGACGGCCACGACCACTGTCAAGAGTGTAGCGCCGAAGAAGAAGAAGTGCTAGTAGTACCTACTCCTTGTTGATGGAAGCAGTATCTACTACAGGTTACGCGTCTACCCAGCAAGGTACGAGATACAGAGTGAGTACAATGACCTGGTGGGTAGGTAAGGTTAGGTCTACTTATTAGGTCATTGTACCCACTCTGTATCTCATACCCTACTCTCGGACTACTATTCGGACATATCCACCTATTAGGTCATTGTAAAAAAAAATCGTCAATCCAGTAGCCCTCTACTGGATTTTTTTGAACTTTCGAAACATAAAGAACTCAAACCAAAATACAATCCTTATCAATTTTTTTGGATTTTTGCCACGACAAGCAGAACTCTACAACCGCGTGACTTACGCCACCGACGCGAATTTGACACGTCAGCCTGCGGAGGGAAATGTTGAAAAGCGACGTTGCTGACGCGCTAACGGTTTTAAGTTCCGAGAAATCGGTACTGTTTCAAATCACCTTTGTTTCAAATCCCCTCGGTCTCCCCTTCTGTGTTTTTGTGGTCTAATGGTCTTATTTTAGAAGTAAACAGCCAAGGGGGTTAATAATCAAAGAAACAGCAAGTTTAACTTAAAACTCCATTTATTCGCGGTTTGTTGAGTAACACTTACATATAAATAACAAAATTCCACTGTAAATAATATTGCATCTGTACTGTAGTTTTCTGACTGAGTAATGTGGTCGTTCACATCGCTTTCACTTTGAGTTGCTTCATCTTCGGCGTCTTGCGTTTCTTCTCCCGTTTCTGCTCCTTTAATTCCCAACGGCGTTGTTTCTCCGGGTCGTCCTCCTGCACAATGAAAACGAGAAAATAATTTAGAAAAGGAAAATATTTGCCGCCTTATTCCAAAACGAGAACTAAGGTTAGTTTTGGTTTAAACCTTATGTTCTCTCAGTCTTCTTTTTAGCAATCAAAAGTGACAGAATCCGATTTAGTACAGGTTTAACTTTAGTCAGTCTGTAATAAGGCGTTATAAGACGTATAAGCACGAACATCTAAAAATGAGATAAATTTTATATCTTTTGTGTTCTAGGTGGTAAAGTTAAAATTGGTACAGATAGCTAATAATCCGGTCAATCAATACATTCAAAGGTACATAAATTTTTCATTAAGCTGGAAGTGAGTAAAATTGTTTAAAAGATAATTAAAAATACCATTTCAAAATTCCCCATCGTGCCGGTACTTGGAAAAAAAATACTCGAAGTCAAAGGTAAAAAAATGGGTTTTCGCAATTTTCATCAAAACGGTGTTTCATCATAAAATTACCTTGAACAAAATTGTAGATTATAAAATTATCTATAAAAATGTGTCAATATTTATTTTCCTAAGAGCCTCCGTTCCAGAGATATAACGATTCAAAAAGTTGTAAGCGTCATAATATGAACACGTTTCCACGCCCACCTCGGAGGTTGTTTACTTAGCGTAGGTTTTTTACATGGTTTCCTCGGTAGGCATATGCCACAGATCTGTTGTGATTATGGTTATAAGGGATGGAAATGAGACAACATGTTTAAGATCCAGAGCATACGAAAGCTGTCTACTCGATCGCGATTAGGAAGCTACTAGAAGGCGGTTGTGTGCCCGGTTCGCACGTACGAACACGAAGTGTATCTACCCGTTTATTTTAATAAAATCGTAGTAGGCAGCTTACCGCATTTAAAATATATTTATAAAAAACAAACAAATAACATTGGAATGCATGAACATTATTTATATGTATTTAACTAAATAAATAAAACTAGTTTTTACGGGTTAATGCACGAGCGGTACGGAGTTTACGGTAGTTAGGGTCAAATAAATAAATAAACTCAAAATTACAAACAAGAATTTTAAATAAAATACTTTATTAAGTAAATTAAATAATAAATTCATACATAGACAATAAAAATTTTAAAAATCTTCCAATGAAACAACCGAACGCTCAATATAAGTCTTTCGAAGGTAGCTCGACAATTTTAAATAAAAAATCATTATTCTGACGATGCAGACCTGAAAAGGCTGCGAAACGTCAATAAATAAATAAAGTTTCGTGCATTAACCCGTAAAAACTAGTTTTATTTAATGAGTGATGTGCGTGAAAACCTAAGAAACAAATATGTATTTAACTATATATATAAAGGTAAGTACTTAAACTATTTTATGCATGTATATTTTTTCAAGAATAATGTAATATAAACTATTTGGCTAAAACTTAATTATGAAAACTATTGAAAAAATATTTTAATATGTATGCGTCGCCTACAATGGTTAATTGGAAACTATTCCATAGTAACAGATATTAGCAAGGGTTGGAATTGATAAAAAATCCGGCCAAGTGCGAGTCGGACTCGCGCACCGAGGGTTCCGTACAAACCTGTACGTATATTTTATTTTTTTTTTTTTTTATTATATGATGTCACTAAAAATTGACGGTTTTCGCAATTTTTCCTTAATCTGTACTATAAGAGGTTACTTCGTACGAAATTTCATGATTCTAAGTTCACGGGAAGTACCCTGTAGGTTTTGGTTCCCGTGCGAGTTTCGAAAATTTGCGGCATAAACGGCTGTATCTTTTGATTGCTTTGGCTTAGAAGTTTGATTTTTTCACAGCTCCAAGGGACAGTAGACCTGAGTATTAGATATGAATTTCAGTTTGATACCTCCACGCGTTCCTAAGGAAAACGGTCTTGACAGACGGACGGACAACAAAGTGATCCTATAAGGGTTCTGTTTTTTCCTTTGAGGTACGGAACCCTAAAAACAGTTGAAAAATTTTTTCGTTGGATTCATAAGCTTTAATTACTTCTTGTTGTGCTTCTTCTTAATCTCCTTCATCAACTTGGATGTAAGTGAATTGCGTCAGTAGCGATATATCGCATGTCTCTCCGTTGGTAGCAAACCAATCTTCTACTGTTGATGATTCAACATTAGAACACGACTGGCCTTGACAATTCGTACATACCAAAGAACAAAACAGTCCAATTTTTTTGCAACCACATTTAGCACTGCATCCCTTTTTACATTTGCAAAAAATGAGGGCTATCGTTTTTTATCTCACCAGATGGCGTCATTGTTAAGTGAGGTCCTGAAGTGTAGCTTTTAAAGTTTGTTAAAACGCGCGTGATATCAAAGTTAGAATAACTAGTTTAAAAAGAACCGTATCGTAAAGATAAATCGGCCATGCTACAGTGATACGCAGTTCCGTTTTGTAAAAAGGAAGACAATATTTTTAGCTCCGCTTCTAAATAACTGATATTGATTGACACTTAACTCATATTTGCCATAATTAATCTGAGTTATAACCAGATTTTCACAACAATATCATTTACTTCACTTCATTGTATTAAGCAGTTTTTCCGGCGCAGGTAGGAGTAAAGTCTGAACTATGGGTGCTTCTCCTGCTTGCGGCCCCTACCTAGTCTGTAGGTGCCCCCCCCCCCCCCCCCCCCCCCCGCCTTCTATATTAGATGACCACATAATGACCGCCAGCATCCTCTCCTGAGCGCGGCCTGCTCGAGCTCCCCCCCCCCCCCTTCTATATTAGATGAGCTCATACTGACCGCCAGTATCCTCCTCTCCTTCTCCTGCTTGCGGCGCTCCTCTCCTGAGCGCGGCCAGCTCGAGCCCCCCCCCCCCCCCCCCTTCTATATTAGATGAGCTCATACTGACCGCCAGTATCCTCTCCTTCTCCTGCTTGCGACGCTCTTCTCTCCTGAGCGCGGCCTGTTCCTGTCTGGCAGCGTGGGCGCCTCGCAGCCATGCCTCGGCTACCTTCTGACGACGCTTTTCGCATTTTGCCAACGCCTGTGGGAAGAAACAACGTTATTTTGTTGCATACATACATTTTATCTTTTATATTATATACAGATGCAAAAAATAAATACAAGAATCGTAAATACATAATTATTTACATTATAGGTTCTCTGCATGTTGAACATGCATTATAAAAATAAAGTATTATATATACATTTTAATTACTTAACTTATCTAGGGAACAGAACAAGCGCATCTTTAATTTAAATTTAAGTATTTATAATTTAATTAATAGTCATAGTGACGTATGTTTATATTTTGATATAAATAAATATATTAGATATTTTAAGTTGACTACAGATACTATGTATCTCGCAAAGAGATTTAGGACCCAGATAGCTAATTTGTTAGCTTTTAATATACAAAATACGGTTATACATGGTATAACTAACCCTATTCAACAAAATAGTGTTAGTATTTCTAGTAAAAGAAATATTAACTCTATTAACAATTTAACCAGCCCAGTTTTAAACTGAGCTTAAAGACAACAGCCAAACCTAATAAAAGCATTATTAATATTATTCATCAAAATATACAAGGTTTGGCTGGCAAAGACCTAGAATTAGAATTGTATTCGAAAAGTGAGGACATACACATTATATGTTTAACGGAACACTGGCTCAAGCTTTGTGAAATGTCTTATCACATAAACAATTTTCAGTTGTTGAGTGCTTATGTTCGAAAGACAGCCATACACGGCGGCTCATTGATTTTTGTCAACAAAAATATTAGATGTAAGGATAGAAAGGATATAGCTGGCCTTTCAATTGAACGTAGCATTGAGCTATCTTGTGTGGAACTAAATAAGATGATAATAGTATGCGTATACCGACCCCCTGTAGGTAACTTTAACATTTTTGAATCTGTAATGGAGGATGTACTGAAAAAGTTAAAGTCAAAAAATAAATTTTGGTTGTTTGCGGTGACTTTAATATTAATATTCTTGAACAAAATTCAATGTCAGTACGTATAATATCACTATTTAAATGTTTTAATTTGATCCATCAATTTTTTGAGCCGACTAGGGTGACATCACATTCGGCAACTTGTTTGGATAATCTATTTACAGATAGTACTCCTGATAGTAAGTCTATTTTTAATAGTATTACATCTGACCATTATGGCTTAAAAATACAATATAAAATAGATGTAAAAAATGAAACCAAAGTAATTGAATTGAGACCAGTAACAGAAAACAGGTTAGAAAATTTTCAAAAAAACATTGATGATAGGATTTCTCATATCCCATGGACACATGATGATCCTGATATTCTTTTTGGGGATCTTTTTAATCTAATAAGGAATGAATTCGATAAGGCTTTTCCCTTAAAAACTTCGAAACTTACTCAGAAGTTACAGTTCTGTGATTGGGCTACGACTGGTATCTATAAAAGTAGAAACAAACTTTATGAATTGTATCATCTGAGAAAATATAATCATTCACAAAGTTTTATTGATTACGTTAAATGTTATTCTAAAACCTTCAAAAAGGTATGTGCAACAGCCAAATCTAATTTTATTAAAAATAAAATACGTAAATCGAATAATAAAATCAAAACAACGTGGAATGTTATAAATCGTGAAACAGGCAAAGAAAGGCCACGTGACGATATTATTGAAATTAAGTCCAATAATATTCTAATAAAATCTAAGGAACATATCGCTAATATTTTTGATGATTATTTCGTTAATGTTCCTTTGGTGGCTACATCTAATTTGAGCTCTTCAACGGTGGCTGCCAAGACATTGCTCGAGAAATATGTACCTAAGTGTGATAACGTGTTTCAGTTTAGACATATTAGTTTTATTGATGTTATTAAGTGTTTTAAATCTCTTAAACAAAAAAATACAAGTGATTTATGGGGTATTTCTACTAAAGTTATTAAAAGTATAATACCCGTTATTGCCCCTTATCTAGTTGATATATTTAATAACTGTATTGATCAAGGCATATTTCCGGATTTGATAAAATACAGTAAAGTTATACCTCTTTTTAAATCAGGAAATAGAAGTGAACCTGGAAATTATAGGCCTATATCAATATTACCGGTTCTAAGTAAAATATTTGAGAAAATTATTCTGGAACAATTAATGCCTCATTTCAACCTAAATAAACTTTTGCATAGGAAACAATTTGGTTTTACCAGAGGTAGATCTACTACTGACGCGGGTGTTGCACTTGTAAGGAGTATATTGGAGGCTTGGGAGAGGTCGCAGAATGTTCTTGGAGTGTTCTGTGACTTATCCAAAGCTTTTGATTGCGTTGATCATCACACGCTGTTATTGAAATTAAGTCATTATGGAGTCAAAGGTACTGCATATAAATTAATACAGTCGTATCTCAGTTCCAGAATTCAAACTGTAGAGGTAAATGGTGTTAGATCATCTGGATCTCATGTGGAAATGGGCGTTCCCCAGGGTTCAATTTTGGGCCCCTTTCTGTTTCTAGTATATATAAATGATTTGCCATTTTTTGTAGAAAATTTGTGTGAGATAGTATTATTTGCTGATGACACATCTTTATTATTTAACGTTGACAGGCGCAAGAACAACTATGACGATGTTAATAATGCTCTCTCGCAAGTTTTGCAATGGTTTAATGTTAATAATCTAAAGGTAAATGCTAATAAAACCAAGTGTATTAAATTTTCTTTACCTAATGTAAAAGTCGAACATATTGAAATTAAATTAAATAATTATAAATTAGATTTAGTAGACTCAACTACATTCTTGGGTATAACTATAGACTCAAAACTGCAATGGAATCATCACATTACGCTTTTGGCTGGTAAACTTAGTTCAGCAGCTTATGCCATAAGAAAGATAAGACAACTTACTGATACAGAAACTGCCAGGACTGTATATTTTAGTTACTTTCATAGTATCTTATCATACGGCATTATACTCTGGGGAACAGCAGCTGATATTGAAAGAATATTCATTCTACAAAAAAGAGCTGTGAGATCTATTTATCAATTGAGTAGCCGAACATCTCTTGGAGAAAAATTTAAAGAAATCGGCATTTTGACTGTTGCTACTCAATTCATTTACAATTGTATACTCCTCGTTAAAAATAATATCAATTTGTATACCAAAAACAGTAACGTGCATAATTTTAACACAAGGAATAGAAATAAGCTTGCATTGCCACCCTACAGGTTACAGAAGGTTTACCGATCTTTTATGGGTCAAGGTATACATTTTTATAATAAAATTCCTGATGCCATTCTTGAGTTACCCATAAATGAGTTCAAGTGCCACATTAAAAATTGTTTACTTAAGAAAGGCTATTATACTATTAAAGAATACTTAAATGACAAAACTGCATGGCTGTAACTGTAAATTTGTTTTGTATTTGTTTGCAGTGTCGTACAGATAAATTACCTGAATTCTAAGTAACTATTTTGCTTGGTTTGAGTGGTTATGGGTAGTCATGCTCTCTTAAAAATCTCTTCGGCGGTGTCGTGTGAGGCGGGTCGTTGCGTTCCCTACAATATGGTTGAGCGAAACGATGGCTGGTTCATGCGTCATGCTCGTGAACGGGTGCTGCCAGCGGAGATGAGTCTGCTCTATACTACTTTATTATTATTATAATGATAATTAATTATTTAAGTTAAATTTTATTTGTAATTGTATTTATACTGTATGGCACGGCAATCAGAAACAAAAAATTTAGGTTAACATTTATTATTTCTGAGATAAAGATTTAATGGTGGTGTGGATTCTGGCATGGTTCTCTAGACCTGAACTTTGGTTTTGCAGCGGTGTATCCTTATCATTCTCTATACAGAGTGAAGGGGGGGCACTGATGTTGGGTTTGGTTTTGGGTTTGGAGGGTAGTGGCAGAGTCGACACTAGTGTTTAGGTAACCACATGCATGTGTCCTACAGTTGTGTTTATAGTTTTTTATAGTAATGTACACTGGTACTTAATTTTTTTTTTTCCCTATTTTGCTATCTAGTATCCATATGTGGTTATGGGTAGTCATACTCTCTTAAAAATCTCTTCGGCGGTGTCGTGTGAGGTGGGTCGTTACGTTCCCTAAAAAATGGTTGAGCGAAGCGATAGCTGGTTCATGCGTCATGCTCGTGAACGGGTGCTGCCAGCGGAGATGAGTCTGCTCTTGCTACATTGGGTACTATTAATCGTTGTATTTAACTTTAATGGTACATTTGTTTTTATGCCTAAACAGTGGGACACGGCATTCCTAAACTTTTTTTCATTTTTAAATCTGTTTTTTATATTTTTTATTTTATAGTCATAATTGTTTTATTATTTACATTTGTAATGGAAAGTGACTTCATGGGTTATCTCATATTGAACTCATTTTTCAAATTGACGACTCTGTATATAATACAGGGAGAAAAAAACAGCCCTTGCTGAGTTTCTTGCCGGTTCTTCTCAGTACAAGGTCTCCCGCCGTAGATTTGCGAACCGATGGCGTAGCTTTTCGACATTCACAAGTGCTTGTAACAGTCTAGACTGAATAAATGATATTGAATTTTGAATTTTGAATTAATTTCAATTTTGTAATTTACTTTTTCTATTGTCAATAAAGATCGCGCAAGCTCGATGGCGCAAGTGGTTAGCGTGTTCGGCTGCGACCGTTGAATTTAAGCAACTTTCGCAGTGGTCGGTCATTGGATGGGTGACCAAAACTCTTCTATCTCGAGTTCCTCCGTGCTTCGGAAGGCACGTTAACCCGTTATTTGGGTTGGTCCCGGCTGCATCTGCAGTCGTTAGCACCCGCCAATCCGCATTGGGCCCGCGTGGTGGGTCATGGCCCTATCTCCCTAATCTATCCATAGGGAAGGCCTGTACCCCAGCAGTGGGGACATTAATAAAAACAATTAAATCTATTAAAAATTACTAAACCCATAAAGGTACTCCTACAATGCGAGTTAGTGACTGCTTATTACAATTATATTTAGACACAAATTTTAACTATTAACTGAGATATTTTGGAATAAATACAACCCAAAGAACACTCCCTGGTATAAAACATCTATAAGTTTATGTGGCCGCTGACCATCATGAGATTATGCTATTATGCTTTCCAACCTTCCAAAAAAAATCCTTAACTTAAAAGACGGGTATAATACCAAAAAATTAGACAATGTTTCAGTCATGTTCAGTAAAATTTCGTATGATTTTTTTTCTTAAAATTGTGTTGAACGAATAACTAAAATTTTTAGGAACTTATTAGGCGGGTTATTTCTACTCTGTTCCACTCTTTTCACGTTAAAAATTGATAAACCTGTAGTTAAAAAAGCGAAAGAGCTAGATCGGTTCGGCTGCAATCGTTGAAGTCAATGGATGGGTGACCAAAAATTTACTCTCGAGCTCCTCCTTGCTTCGTAAGGCACGTTAAGCCATTGGTCCCGGCTGCATTTGTTAGCACCCACCAATCCGCACTGGGCCTGCGTGATGGGTATGGCTGAATATCCATATTCCATCCATAGGAAAGGCCTGTACCCCAGCAGTGGGGACATTGATAGGCTGATGATGTTGACACATAAAATTAATTATTATATTAAGTAACATGTAGTTTTATAAATTTCTCTTTTATCTTTTTGCTTTTGTTTACTTTACCGCTTAGTTTCTTTGCTTAGCCCGATGGTTGACTGGTAGAGAATGCCACGTGGCATTCAGTCCGCCATTTGTTGTAATAAACCAACAATAAAGAGTAAATAAATAAAAACAGTTTTTTATTTATTTACTCTTTATAGCCTCGACTTATAAATCTTAAAATCTCACCTCCTTGCTGAGTCGCAGCCGTTTGAGCTTGTCCAGCAAGTGGAACACAAGTAACAGCAGCGGCCTCACTTCGTCACCACCACCCTCGGGGCCGAGAGCCAAGCTCACTAACAGGACCCTTTCCGTTTCCGGTGGCTTGGTTACCGCTTGTTCCCTGCACGAAAACATTACAATTAGTATTGTTTTTTCTTACTATGTTATGGGGACTTATGAAAAAAACTTTTTTAAAGGTTACTGTGTAGTAGTGTAGTTGTTGGACTCCTCCGTGATACAGATGGCAGGTCAATTTAGTTGCTTAATGCCTATAACTCAACTAAACGCTATATAATGATAATGTTTTAGGCTGGTGACAAATCAGATCCCAGCAATTTTAGGCCTATATCTATATTACCATCGCTAAGTAAAGTACTTGAGAAAATAATTTACAACCAATTACTAGCACACTTTTCTATGAATATGCTATTTCATTTAAAACAGTTTGGTTTCACTAGAGGCAAAAGTACTACTGATGCTGGAACTGCATTGCATTTTTGATGTATGGGAGAGTAAGCACGATGCTATTGGCATTTTTTGCGACTCATCAAAGGCGTTTGGCTGCGTTAGCCATGAAACATTGTTAAATAAAATGAAGCATTATAGTGTAAAAAAAATATTTCACTAAGTCTGATACAGTCTTATCTTTCTGCTAGGATTCAGAAAGTAGTTATAAATAAAGCAGTCTACAGGAGCACCCATTTCTATGGGTGTGCTCCAGGGTTCAATATTGGGCTCATTGCTTTTCCTTATTTATATCAATGACCTTCCTCACTTCACAAGAGATTTGTGTGAGACAGTACTATTTGCTGATGACACCTCTTTAGTGTTTAAAGCTAGAAGAGGAAATGATTGTTATGACGAAGTAAATTGTGCTCTCTCTGAAGTGCTTCATTGGTTTACAATAAATAATTTAAAACTTAACACCAGTAAAACAAAATGTGTTAAGTTTAGTCTACCTAATGTGAGGCAGGTTAATACTAGTATAAAAATAAATGACCAGCTTGTAGAGTTAGTGGATGCTACAAAGTTTCGGGTATTACTTTAGACTGTCGTGTGAATGAATATCTTGATTCGGTCGCCGCGCTTAAGCCCGCGATAAAAGCTATGCAATAGCTTAAAACTATGATGCATTTGCGAAAAAAAGTCAAACCCATAACTTTAACACGAGATTTAAGAACAAGCTTACTGTTCCATGTTTCAGACTCAAAAAAACAAGAGGTTCATTTCTGGGTTGTAGTACTGCATTGTTTAATAAAGTTCCTCTAGATATGATTGAGCTTTCACTGAGCAAATTTAAATCTCAGATCAAGAATACTCTTATATATAAGGGCTATTATAAAGTTGATGATTATTATCTAAATGATCATAATGCATGGACATAGTGTTTCTTGTAATTTGTTATGTGATGGGTATTAGTCCTTTTTCATAACAGTAATATAGTACCTATCTAATGCCGCTTCATATATACTAAGATAAAGTTAACTATAACATTTATTGTAACTATATATTTTTATTCTAAATGATGTAATAGAAGGTGACTTAAGACGTATCTTTGAAGTCATTTTTCAACTTGACGACTCTGTATATACAATACAGGGAATAAAAAAACAGCCCTTGCTGAGTTTCTTGCCGGTTCTTCTCAGTACCGGCGTAGCTTCTTGACCTTCACAAGTGCTTGTAACAGCCTAGACTGAATAAATGAATTTTCATTCATTTATTTATAATATGTACTTACTCCATCTGCTTGGGGACGGAGTATCGGTCCGAGCTTTGTATATACTGCACGTGGTTGTGGTATTGATTTAGTGCGGCCATTATTCACGCGTCCAATATGGAAGCTGTTGCTTCTAAAATGGTTCAAATTTGAATATAGTAACCTATAATGTTGCTGCATTTTACAGACTGCTGTCTTAATTGAAAGATGGGCAGATACAATCTCTTTGATTCTATACTCACTCCATTTGCTTGGGGCCACAGTATCGGTCGGATATTGTATTTACTGCACGTGGTTGTAGTCTATAGAGCGGCCACCAATCGCATGTCTAATATGAAAACAGTCGCCTCCAATATGATTCAAATTTGAATACAGGAACCTATTACTACGCCGCATCATACAGGCTGCTGTCTTAGCTGCAAGATTGGAAAATTTCTCTTTTTTCATACTCACTCCATCTGCTTGGGGCCGGAGTATCGGTCGGAGATGTGTATGTACTGCACGTGGTTGTGGTACTGATTTAGAGCAGCTACCACTCTCGCGTCCAATATGGCGCCCGTCGCTTCTGCACATTCCGACATTACGGAGAGTGACGTGGGAAGAGAGTGCTTATCGCCCGGCCTACGATCGGGGCAGAATACGCTCTACAAATAAATAAATAAATATAAGTTAGTGGCACCGATGACCGACAAGAACCAATGATCGACATTCGTGCCGTGTTCAATGAAAAAAGAGTAGGCAACATATCACTTAATATGGTAACACTTAGCATATGGACAGATGCTCGGTGTTACCTTTAGCGATCGATTACCCACTCTTGTTTTCATTGATACCAAAAAAAAATGTAGATCATTGGCTCCTTTATGATCAATGATATATCGGCTGATGTATTGTATTTATTATAAATATATGTTATTGTCAGGACTATGCTGAATGGATTACGTACTATTGGACCACGATAACTCTGCAGAGGACTGACAATAGCAAAAATTAAAACTTTGCACAGGGCAGTACCGATTATAGTTTAATTAACTATCCCTGATACTTTATTTTTAATTGACTTATATATATATATCTAGTATAATGCCAATTCACTCTGGACAATTCTTTATTCACTATACAATCCACGCAGTAAACACTCAATATTAGTCACAATGCACTCACTGCACACTATCGAAAAGGGTAGCCGTGAAAGTTGTAATTATAATACCGTATTTTCTACGGGGTCTATCTAAAAATTATATTATATCTATAATTTAAACTAGTTAAGAATGTGAAAATTTCAGTTTCGAAATCTGTGTTTAAACAACAAATACTGAACAGTGATATAAGGTAGCTTAAATTACAGGAATCATTGCATTTTAATCAGGTATGGGTCTATTGAGTACTTTGGGAGACGAAACGAGGAAACTCCTCAGTTACAGATAGTACATATAAATAAAACGGATAATGCATTCCAGCTAGGAGCAAATAATAATTGCTTCTAGCATGCCTTGCTTAGTAAGGCGACGTTTTTTTGCGTTGTTTGTCTAAATTCGTTTGGTTATTTCTCGAGCATATTTCCAAGATCGATTTCTTTTTCAAAAATTGTTAATTTCTCTTTAAATCCCTGAAATTCCAAATCAACAACTTTAATTCCTCAATATTAAATATTGGTGGTAATACTGTTGGTAATACAATTACTACTACAAATATTATTATTTTTATGAACAATTAATAAATAAATGCTACAAAACAAGTATGCGTAAATAATCAAAACTATACTTTATTATCTAACCTTATGTAAAAACATTTTTTTTAGTCATAGGTATAGAATGTAACTGTTGAAATGTAAATAAAAATACCACTACAAAAACAAACAAGTATCAAGAAATTGATTGAAACTAACTCGTTGACGTTAGGATTTCTTCATAACATTGCTCTTTTTGCATAAGAACCGACTACATTTGTTCCTTTGCACATTTATTCTGATTTAATATTTTATAAAATCTCACTTTTACTCCATTTTTCTGTCTTCTTTTCTCTCCACAAACAAAAAATAAAAACTTCTAACGAAAGATTCTCATAAGACATGACATTTTTGACATTTATGAATGACATCTTAAAAGGACTGCCAGATCTAGTTTTTCTGGTGTGACCATTGACTCTGCAAATTATCGTGGTCCAACTTTAGATCAGGTTCAAAAGTGTCACCTACTCAGTGGTTTCAGGCTCGAATACCGGTGGAGCAAATGTTTTTTTGACGAACACAAGTATTTGAAGCTAAAGCATGGTTTCTACAAAAATACACTTCATCTATCTCACATCTATGTATACATATTTTTATTTCTTACCCTAGTATCCTATAACACAAGCTTTACAATATTTACTTTGGGACTAATTATTGGTATGATGAAAAAACAAAAAGTATGAAAAATAATGTATTTAGAATGTCAAAAGTAGAAATAGACATAACAGCACATGAATACTCACCAAATCCTGCATCTCTTTAGAGAAGCGCGTGGCGATTTTCTTCTGCGCGACACACAATACGAAAGGATCGCTGTCGTCTTTGCCCAGCTCCACCCGGATCAGTAACGTGTCCGGACTGGGTCGAACTACACCCAGTAACACGTGCACTAGGTCTTGACGCTACAACACAAAAAGTTTTTTAAATAAAATTTCATTGGAAAATATTCATTTCGGCTAAATTTCAGGCTGAACTTGAACTAGGTAGCATAACTAACTCGGTAGCATATCAAAGAAAGAAATAAATTTTATTAGCCTTAAACATTACTGTTTAATTTATGTTAATACAACATGTTAACATAAATAAAAGAAGCCAAAATAGGCCAACTAGGTCCCTGCCTCCGCTTAATACTACAGCAACACCAGGACTGCTGCAGCGCTGATGATTCTGGAAGTTATTCGTCCGGAATGTGAAAATGGTTAGTTCGAATCCCACAAACTTGGTTAATTTGATTTTTTTTAACTGTATTACGAAATGTTGGATCATTGAGATCAAACAAAAACCTTTTTCACTTGCTGCAGTCTGTGACTGACCGTGAGAACAACAAATGCTGAATTAATTGGAGATCCATCGAAAGTGAACCAAAAATTTTATACATTTTCTTAATTTTTTTTCCACTTATATAAGTCGCAGGCAATTTGTATGATTCCGCGTTTTCAATCTTCAATAACAAGTACTCTGTTGCAAATACCTAGTTGCGAATTAAACAGGGCCAAAGTGAATACTGACGCATTTATGGAACCCACATTGAGCAGTGCTTACTTAAAAAAAGCTTATTAAGTATCCTCATGTGCGTTAAGTCCCTAGACATAAACAAAACGTACTTCAAAACGCTTATCTTTGAAATTATAACAGCCATAATGCAAAATTAAGGGTGACCCACTACAACCTGTTTCCTAAAATTAATGCGGGTAGAACTGCATGGCACTTCTAGTATTTATAAAACCTAAACCCCATATATTTGAAGTAAGTCGCCATAGTAAAAAATTATCTATCCTACTAGACGATTCAAATGACACGTGTTTGAAATCTGTTGGAGGGTGGGGACGTTTCTTCCCATTGTCCTTTTTGTATGGAAACTTGAACAGCAGCGCCACAATGAACGTAACGAGAACTAAAAATCAGTGCACATTTGACATTAACATTTCGGTCAAGCAAACGATATTGGTTCGTGCTAAGAGTACTGAAAAAAGCCAGTAAATGTAAAGTAACCAGACGACTCGACAACTCATGCACCGATCACCCGAGAGTGCTAGCGGTGTTGCAGCACCCGTTTCCAACTGGCCGCAAATTTAAAATTACGGATACCTTAATAAGTTTGAGTGTGAGAAGCATTCCTTCGCAGCAGACGCGTCCGCTGCACCACATCGTGAAACAATGCTCCGCCTCCCGTCTCCATCCGCGGTCCTCGCCTATTGACACCACGTCCGAACCTGTCTCACCTTCAAAAATCGTAGACAGTAATCATTTAAAGGAAATACAAAAGAATTAATAATTAGAACTAGGCGGGCGTGTATGAATATGTAATGTTTTTTTTAAACACAGGTCCGACAAATGACTCCACCCAACCTGATGTAAAGTGACGGAGAAGTCTAGACGCGAAGATAGCTGATACAGCAATTCTACCTGCCACACCAGCCATCCACACCCTAACGCCCTGCACGTTGCTTCTTTACGCCTGTTTTAAAGGATCCCAGGTTGTATGAAGGAGAGAACACGTGAGCGGGCAGAGCATTTACGGATAGTGCGACAAAGAAATGAGTCACCAAATTTCTTTGTACGCGTTGGAATAGTAGCCCCAATTAGTCGGTGACAACGAAGGCCAGCGCGTGTGATCCTGATAAATGAAGCGAAAGATGTGTGTACGGATCGTGTATTGGGGCATTCTATTTTCCCTACCTAGTCCTCCCCGGAAGGTGTGAAGATAGATAGAATTATATGCTTGCCTTTCATTTGATATTTGGGAAAGGAACATGTCACATTGGCACTAAGGGTAGCTAAAGACACAAGCAGGCCAAACTAAACTAGGCAGCCTAAACTAAATAAATGATTTTTGATTTTACTATGAAAACCCCAAAGATTTTGGGTGCGACGTGACCTTCAAAATCGTGACAATAAAGATTGAAAACCAAACGACGATGACCGAATAAAAACTGAACTGATTGAAGCTGAACATATTTCGAAGTTGCTACAGTTCTGCATTTTCGTTCCCCAAATACTGACGAATCAATTGATGTGTCGTCCCGAATGAAGCCGAATGTGCAGTAATTACTTCAGGTCGGATTTGTTGTTCGACAAATACCGTCGAACCGGCTAAACTGGCCCGCTCTTCTGTGTATCTACCCTAAATTTGGCTTTATATATTGGCTATATTGAGAATAATTTTGAAAACTTGCTGATGTTTAATTAAATAATAAACGTATTAAAATAAAATAACGTCATATGTTTAGATGAAATGAGTTTAAAAAGAACACTCACCAACTAGTGTGAAGTTATCATCCAATAACGGCTTATGCATCTTCAAGAAATTAACAGCTATCGAAGTATTCTTCGAACGGCCCACCGCAAAGCCAAGTGTGTAAGCTACTAGCAAACAACACAGGATGCCTTCCAACCAGTATGCATCCCACCGGGGCCGAACTGTTATAGGAACCTTTAATAGAATTTAAATAATAAAAATAAATACATACAAGAATTTTTAAAATGCTATAAAAGAAATATCTGCCTTCCAAATCCAATTAAAAGCACAGAGATCTTTTGAGGTAAAAAAACCAAAAAAAAAATCAAAAAAAGAGACATTATCATAATGTCATTCATGTTTCCTTACGAATGGATAAGAAGTTGAATTCTCAACACAAAATACACTTCTCATACAACAATTTAAAAAAAATACCAATCCTTTATTAAATAAATAACCAAGCTTTTATTAAATACCTTGGAAATTGTGATTTTTGGTTGTTCAGAAGCATGGGGAGTGGAGCTGTCTTGAAAGCCTTCAAACTCCTCCGGGTCTTGGAAATGTTCAAATTCATTATCTTCATCCTGTAATTATATAAAATCAACTTGTAAATAATGAACAATAACAGAAAATGAAAACTTTATGTATTGTAAATTAAATTTGTTTCCAATCTTATCTTTATGAAATTTACTGTGTCTGGTACACCGTTACTAATGGTACCAGTAAATTTTATGTATTTATAGTAGTAAATTTTTTGACAATAACCAAAGACAATTGACTTGCACAAGAAATATTTTCATAAGTAATTTTTTTCCGGGTCCGTAACTTGCCTCCACTATCATGTCGTCTTCAGTTTCTACATGAGCTTCAAATTGATCCTTATCTTTAGTCTTGAGTGGAGGAACTTCTTTGCCATCTTCATTGAATTCTAAAAATTACAGAAAACACTATTCTTTTGTTTATCACATTTAATACATTTTTTCTTTTATCTAGATATGTCAAAAAGCATGTCTGCTAACAATAACACTAAATACCATGTGTTAATTACTTGATTCAAGAGTAATTTAAATAGTTTCCTTGATAATTATTCCCATAAACAGAGTTGAGCCGGGAGTTAAATGATTTATTAAAACGCAGTTTATTTAAAATCTGTAGTACTTAAAGTGATAACCTAATTGTACATTATTTTCCTCTGCATTTTTTTTTCTTTTGTCTCATTTGGTAAAGATATTATATGTCACATTACCTCTTTTATTTAGCTTCGAAGTTCATTGCCAAAAGCGATAAAATTAGAAAATAAGCCCCTGGTAATTTTAGAATAATTTTAATAAAGTTCTCAACTACTCGAGGTAGCATACCTATCTTAACATTGATTGGCTCATCATCATCTGCATCAAATTGTTCAAATTCAGCAAAATCATCATCCTCCAATGTGTTGTCCTCATAAGCTCGGACTATATATGCACTGCAAATTAGCAGTGAGAGGGATAATGCCAACAGACGCATGGCAATTCTAAAACAAAGAAAAATAACAAATTATGTTTATACAAATATGATTCATTAGAATATATAATGGTATGAAATTAAGACTCCAAATGTAATATTGTATTGAAGTTTTATGCTACTAATTGTCAGATAAATTAAGCTACCTATTTAATTTAATTAGACAACAATAAGAGTAGTGAAATCACAAAAAACATCAGTAATGAGTGCTGAAAGTAATCTTATCTTCAAGGTTATGTTTAGATGTTTGTTTGTATCTTAGTGACTTATAAGGTTTCAAATGCTTACAATTGGTATTAATAGTAACAAGTAGAGAAGTTACTACGAGAAGGCTGAATGTACAAAAATAAGGTCAAACCCATGTCATGAAATACGTGAAAATTTTGAATCAAAACCAATATTATAGGTAATGCGCCAGCGTAAAAATAATAAAGACGTAACTAGAGAAACGTGAGAATTTTCACACGAGTTAGAAAATAACCAAAATGGTACGAAAATAGGTCTTCAAAAATAAGTAGTTGGTTTTTGAAAATGATTGAATTTGTTCACGTATTTCGAGTAGAACAGAAGATTAAAATAAATATTTTGATTACCTGGACGTCTACTATTTCACTAAAATCACATAAATTTCTGCATTAACTTAATAATTACATTAATATCTTAAAAAACCATTACAATCGTACCCCTTCAACTTCTTGACTTGATTAATTAGTTCGTTTTATTTTACCAGTTATATTAAAATGGTAGAACTTAGACACCTTCCTATTGGCCATGAGCTTGACTGCTTACTATTTTGACCAATCACAGGAAACGTCGTAATATAGTAAAGTGAAAACATACTTTTAATAATGCACGTCATGTCACATGTCATTCATTATTACATTGTTTTTTTTTTGGTTAAGTTCTCCCTTTTCAGGGAAGGCAAGGGGAACAATGCCCATACAGCATAGTCTTAAGTTAAATTATTCTTTTTTCTTTTTACATTAGAATGTCGGTGTGACGCATTCTAATGTTTCTTGAAGTGTTTGGCACGAAATGTATCGAGCTGGCTTTTTTGATAAGCTTCTGTGAGGTAGTCAATACTACAATAAAATTCTCACGTCCACTTGACCGGAATAGCGTATATTTTGATGATTCTACTAATTCTTCGGTTACGCAGACAGTTGTAACACAAAATCACACCAATTTTATTTCACAATATCCACTATGAACGAATTTAAGAATAATTAAAATAAGACGCCAACCACACTCGATGAAATCCCGCCAAAAAAAACCTATTACATTTGTAATAATCTTATATTTTAATAAAGTAAAGGATTCTAGGTCTGTACATCCTATTTTTTATAGAAATAACTTTGTTTTTTTATTAAAACTAGGTAACCCAGTGAAAACTTACCGCCGTAAAGATAGTCGTTTTATATTTAATGCAGAATCATAAAAAAAACTTTGGCCGAAAAAGAGGTTTAGAGATGACCTCCTTCTTAGTCATCTGTAAGCCTCCGCCCCCACTATCTTCTTTCTAAACTTAAAACTAAATTTAACATTAAGTAGTCTCTTCTTTTTATTCTGCATAGAGATTGCCAAGGATACCCTGTTGTCTTTAAGTTTAGGTTTAGAGAACCCTGTTAGAATCGACACCACTGTAAATATAAAACAAGGTAACGAATAGGCCGGCAGATCAGACATACACATACATGGCACCGGCTCCAAAATAGCCCAAATTGACTTTAAATAAAAGGTAGTTTCCTACTTCATTGTAGTCTAAGGTCCGTATTACAGAACGACAACTAAGTGTTGATCTTTACTTGAGTACAGTTAGAAAGACATCCCTTTCTAACTATACTCAAGACTAGATCAATCACTGAGAATCTTTTTTTAATACGGGTCTTAGTCTGTAGTTCATCGTATCGCCATCGTCAGAGTTTCTATGCAATCAAGGCAGCGCCCCTACCAGAGGTAAGAACAAATGGCTGCTTCCATAAAAACTTTGGCAAAGGGTGGTACTATTCAATCAAAGCTGGCTCGAACCATCGATAGGTATTAGCATTCTACTAAGAAGACGCCTTATATTATGCACAAAGCACCAATGATCAAAGCTGCCGGCGAATTTTTTGCCAAGTATTTCGCCAATTTTGTGAAACTTCTTTAGGCACGCACGCTTGACTTGGGGGGTAAACTGGCGAATGTGTTACGATATCGCGTTACGATTAGTGTCGTCGGTGACTCATCGGCAAACAATGAACCATATCCGTCACAAAATACATGAATCTACTACTTAGTGGGTGACCCAACACGGATTGGTGGATGATAACGGACCCAGTGCGGCTTGATGGGTGATAATGGATCCAGTGCGGATTGAAGGGGGATAACGGACCCAACGTGGATTGGTGGGTGACAATCGACCCAATGCGGATTTATGGGAGATAACGGACCCAGCGCGAATTGGTTTATGATAACGTAGTCAGTGCGGATTGGTGGATGATAACGGACCCACCGCTGATTGGTGGGTGATAACGGACCCAGTGCGGATTGGTGGGTGATAACGGACCCAGTGCGGATTGATGGGTGACAATGGACCCAGTGCGGATTGGTGAGTCATAACGGACCCAGTTTAGATTGGTGGGTGATAACGGACCAAGCGCGGATTGGTGAGTGATAATGGACCAAGCTCGGCTTGATGGTTTTTTTTTCTATCAACAAATCTTCAGGTTAAGATTATGCTTTTCAGATCATTGGAGCTAAAGAAGTTTCACTTCAGTCGTGTGCTCATAAGCACACTCGCTTTTATTTATGTAAAAAGTGTGACAATCAAGAATGTGGTCTGGTCTGCCTAATGGTAATCGACTACTGTAGATTAAAGAGGCTTGCAAACCAAAATTATCACTTGTACGTTGTCTATACTACTCCATAACCTTACCCCATGGATGGAAAACAAATATGTCTAGGCAACCACAATCTAGGAGCACTGGTTAGACAATCGAAAGTGTAAAAATAAAAGTACACCTAATTTCATCCTTGATATGAAAATCTTTCCTGCCCCCTTTTTTTTGCTGGTGAGCTAGTCATCAACTTTACCCAATAAAGTCGCAAAATTAACTTTGTCGGTCAACAATTTATCTTACGATTGGCGACCGGTTGTTTGGCGAAAACAGATACCTACTCAGAATGTGAACTACAGACTAAGACCCGTATTAAAAAAAGATTCTCAGTGATTGATCTAGTCTTGAGTATAGTTAGAAAGGGATGTCTTTCTAACTGTACTCAAGTAAAGATCAACACTTAGTTGTCATTCTGTAATACGGACCTTAGACTACAATGAAGTAGGAAACTACCTTTTATTTAAAGTAAATTTGGGCTATTTTGGAGCCGGTGCCATGTATGTGTATGTCTGATCTGACACAAAACAATTTGGTGCATGGATGTCATTCATCAGATGATCGGAGCTTTATACGACCTAAATTCGCGCAATTTGTGCGATTCTTGCGTTTTTTATGAACAGGGACAATGAATGCCCTAGTCATTGTCTTTGCTTTCATACCCACTTGAGTAGATATTTTTCTGCGTTGTCCAATTTATCCTGAGTCTTCTACTTCAGAATTTGCGTAAAGCCAAATATTATTTTCCATCAGAAAAAAACGGTTAACTTTACCTATTATTTTAGTTCTGCTGTCTATCACAACGTTACAAAATAGCTAGAGTCTGTGCGAAAAGAGAATGGGATTTAGATTGGAGGGCGCTGTAGTGCTTTTCTACCGTATTTGTAAGGTTTTACCCCTTTTAGACATGATTAAATACAAAAAACCGCAAGAAATCACACCAACAAACAATGTATCAATACAAATTTTGACATTTTACAGATTGCTGGGTTTGATTGCCAAATAAAATTCTTAATGTTAGTTCCGTTTTTCACCACGCCCATTCTCTTTCCGCACAGACTCTACTAATATTATCTAGGGCAACATGTGACTACCCTAGCTAGTATACCAAATGAACATAGGTATTTTTTTTTTTGTTTAAATAGCTCATACAAATCAGCTTAGCTTATAAGTAAGCACTGTAAGGCTTGTGTTATGAGATACTAGGGTAACGGATAGAATACATGTATTGTACATATACATTAAGTATATTTATATATAGATACATATTATACATCCATGACTGGAGTACAATTTATTGTATACTCGTATTCATCACATAAACATCTGCCCCCACCCGGGACCTCTCGAGTCAGCGACACCATGAAACCCGGCGTATAAACCACTCGGCCACGGAGGTCGTCTTATTTCGGTTCTCACTCGCGACTCTCGTCTTACTTTGGTTCAAAACTGTAAAGGTAGCCGGAAATCATTAAAAGGAAATTAAAACTTTGCGTCGGTGCTTTGAATCCGGATGTTCGATACAATAAAATTGAGTTAATAATTAAAAATCATTTAAAAGTTAGATCATAAAACGTATTATTATTTACGTATTATTCAGAATAATGTATCTTAATTTGTTATAATTATGATGTTCTCTTGTCTTTTGGGCCACGGTTAAAACCTTTCAAGTGGAGCCTTAATTGGATGATGGAAAATTTCAAAGCTTTTTAATGGAAAGACAAAAGAAAACAATGGGCTCCGTAAATAGGTATAATATAATATAATGCAAGATAAATACTAGGTCTAGCAAAATAAAGCTGAAAAAATGGTTTCTTTGTTTTTTATTTGATTTTAATAAGTACTTATTCGTTTTTTTTTTAGTCGTAGCCTTTTAGTTAGTTAGTACTTAGTAGGGCCTTAGTATCATCCATCATCTTATACATTGAATAAAAATGTCAACAGCCTTCTTCACGCATGACCCAGGTCGCGTCGGCCGTGACTTTTTTTCCCCTTTATTTGTGGCAACAAACAGTCATACATTTGAATATAATTGTTCTGTGGTTACAGTAAAATTATAAGAGACGACCTACAGTGCCAGCAATTTAACTTCTTAGTTACAGAAAAACATTAAAGAACAAGTATTATACTTAAAAAAAATACATAAGAAAACAAAACATATAAACATGCAAAAATCTTTAAATTTAAATGTTGTCTTTTAATTTTAGTTTAAGAAATTTGTTTAAATTACTATGTGAAATATTAAATAGATCAATGTTATTGAAGTAATTATTATAATTGATGGTGGAACGATAAATAAAGGAATTTCGCTGGTTGCTCCTTTATGACGGACGTACAACGTGGGTTAAGTGGTTCTGTTGTCACCAAAAAAATATATTGCCATTTGGTTACGAAACCCTGGAACAGCTATCGGGTTTTAATATTCTTCGAGTATAGCAGTGCTGAACCCAAAACGCCATCTTATTATACCGATAATATCTAGGTACTCCGCGTCGATTTAATCGCGACTCGTCTATGCCTTTTAAGGGGTCAAACGGGTCTTAGGCTCATACTATCTCCTCAGCCATTTCCCACGAGAACGTGAAAAATTCTGTACTTACCATAAACAAGTACCTTGGAGTGGATGGGGTTAGTTCCAAACGGGTTTTAAAGGTTGATTTAAGTAAAATAATACAGTTTCATCGGAAATCGATTTCTATCCTTGAATTGATTGAATCTACACATACATCTATTTTATACCTACAAGGATGAGCAAAGTTTTTCCATACTAACGTGCCAATTTTCACAATCAGATTATAGATATACATAATTACACCCGATATAATAAGTAATGAAATTAAAATATAGCTCAACATGAGGGTACCAAGTTCGACAGCATGTGACAAAATGGTACTTTTTGTTTTACGTACCCTTGTTTTTTTTAACGGTCGCGGGACGGAATTCAACCATTCGAGGGCTGAAGAGGGCCCGCAGGCCGTAATTTGCCCACCCCTGG